GAGGTGCCCTATGATAATGGAATTCTTCTATTCTCTCCATCAGAGTTGCATGACATGCTGATTACCTGAAAAACAACCAGCCCAGAATCTCTTAACTAGGAGTCCTGGTTCTTAGGTTTTACCAAGTGCTGCTTTCTCACATTTTTTTTTTTATTTGCTTCTTCTTTCTTCAAAGATTCCCCTCACTGCCGGGAGTTAGGCTGGGGCCCAATACTTGCTTCCCTCCAAGTTCCTGAGCTAACCATGGAAGAATTCCTGCAGGAGTGCCTGTCTTTAGGAAGTTACTTGACACTCTACGTCTACCTGCTGCAATGCCTGAACACTGATCAAACCCTTACCAATGAAATGAAAATCCTGTTAACCATCAGCAAATGGCTGGAACAAGTGTACCCCAGGTATGAAACTTGGAGCTTCTGAATGTACCTGGACTTTTGGATTATTATTATTATTGTTATTTATATTAAAGTTTATTTAGAGTTGTAGAGCTGATATAATTAGGTAGCCCTGGTTAATTAAGTTAATTTCAACAGAGTGCTGGATGAAATGGCCTGTCCTTCTGTATCTGCTAATACAGGGTCTGTCCATCTGCAGTGCCAACTGAAAGTAGTTGTGGTGGTTAAATGGAAGAAGGAATTTAATGTGCTAGAAAATGAGTGAGTTCCAGTAATTTTTCAGTCAGATGAGCTTGGTTCAATAACAGTCTGGATTTGTGCTCTGTTAAAATGACTCAAAGCAAACCCTGAATGATTCTGGGTTACACTTCCCAGTGAGTCCACAAGGTGGGATGAGTTCTGTGCCGAATATTCAGTCTGGCACTCTTGAGACACCTGGTGTTGAAAGCTGCTGTATGGGGACTGTGCACCAGCTCTGAACCAAACCTGGAGCCAGTGCATCTGGTGGCATGCTCAGGGTTAGCGGCCTGTGCTGCTGTAAAACATCTGAGATAACTGGGTTCTGAGGGGAAAGGATGCATAGCTTTGGAATCAAAATAAAAATATTTAATGCGTGTAGCAACTGTAGTTAGAGTTGCTAATGAAATTGCCAGGATTTAGCAAACGTGAATATTAGTTTTCCATGTTAATGTTGATAATGTTCATATTTTCTGTAAAAGAACAATTTGGAAAAATGTATGTTCCTGCTGTTTCTTGAAATTCAAAAAATATTTTCACTGGTAGGTACTGTAGTAATTTCATTGCCAAGGTATGAAGGAGACAGCAAAGCCACCATATAAAGCAGATTAAACCTTGCTCTAAACATCAGATCTGAGATTGCCTGCGATGGGAAACAACTGGGAGGAGTAATGTGAGGATAGTCTGATGCAGGAAACTCGTGATGGTGCTTTATGTGGAAAATCTGAGCTTGTTAATTTAAACTGCCAACTGTTTGGGGAAAGATTAAAAATAGCATAGGGGGAACTTCACTTTGGGCTTCGCTCAACAAAAAGCTTTAATCTTTCCTTTTCTCAAGGATCATATTCAATATCTAAGTTGTTGTGGTAACAACATCCAGCGCTTCCTAAAGTGTTTTATTGGTAAGTAAAGAAAAGAACAAACAAGCTAAAGATACAGCTTCATTCCTTTTGTGCCAAGTCTTAGGCAAGTTTAAATCCAGTTACAACTGCAGTATCATTTATTTCTAGTTGTAAAGCTTAAAAGGAAGCTGTTCTTTGTCCAGTTACAGGCCCTTAAAATCTGATAGCTGGTGAATCAAATCCATAACAGTAGCAGTCACAGCAGTATAATATCTGGTGGGGTAGTATAGTTATGCTATCCTCATGTGATAAAATTAGCTGTTATTAATTAACAAGCTGAATTCTTCATGGACCAAATGGGGAGGGGAATAAACTTCTTAACATATGCTCTGACTCTTAAATTTTTATTTTCTCTTACATGTTTCTTTAAATTTTACCTAAAGCTCAGCAAAGGAAGAGGCAAAGCTGTTCCTCTGGTGGCATAAAGCCATGCAGTTATCCTTGGTGCAGCTGGAGCAAGATGATCCCATTCTGATTGAATCTGTCATCCGGACCCTGCTGTCTATCCAGGCCCGGCAGAGCCAGCTGGCTGAAGAGAGACTCACTTCTGGAATACTTGGTGCTATTGGCTTAGGCAGGAAGTCTCCTTTGTCACCCAGGTGAGGGCTGAAGCTGTGGTGAATTAAGTGGTTTGGGACATAGTATTAAAGAAACTGCAGCCTGGGTCCAGCATGCCCAGCCTGCGTCCAGCGCAGTGTTAAAAGGTGATCAGAATCCACATGTACCTCAGATCTATAATGTTCTTTGGGCCTGTCACAGAAACAACACAGTGAGTGTGTTAATCAGGTTAAGAAGCAAGTATCAACCTCTGCAAAGGTTGTGGTGAAAAAAGAAAGAAAATGCAGTTCTAAATCTGACTTAAAGTCCTCCTTAAGCAAAGTTTGTAGTGAGACTGTTGGTGAGAGGAAGGCACTTCCACCTGATCTATAGAAAACTATTTCAGTTGACTTCCCAAGATTTTGTATAAAAACAGACACGTTAGAATTTCTGTCCTAACCTTGAGGTATTGGAAATGTTAAGTGATGTGCAAAGGAGCATTGTGATTCACTCTACCTTTGAAACAGAGACACCAAGTTTGATTGTTAGGTGTCAAAATCAAATTTATTCGGGGAGGAATGCTGAGGAAAAAAACCCATAAATGTTTGTGGAACAGCACTCAACTCTGCACCTAAAGATATCTTCATATTTTTCAAGACCTTCTGGGATGCATTGCTGTTCAAATTGCCCTGAATTCTTGGTGTCATTCAACTCATCCCTTGATTTGGGTGATAGTAATGTTTTACATTCTGTCACCTGAGGAGTATTTCAGATGTGAGGTCAGAAGTGTTTCAGGTAGGCTTGAAATAGATGCAGTATTTCCTATAAAAGTATTACATTAGCTTCTAGTATGTGTTGTGTCCTATTGTGTGTATACCCAGAGAAGCTGGGATCCCCTTCCACCCCTGGAATTGTTCAGGTCTGGGTTGGATGGGGCTTGGAGCAGCCTGGTCCTGTGGAAAGTGTCCCTGCCATGGCAGGGGGTGGAACAAGATCCTTTCCAACTCAAACCACTCTGGGATTCTGTGAGACTGTGAAGTGGTTTCTGATGCATTGGAATAGCTCCTCTCAAGCCTTTACTTTGTTCCTCATACAAGAGATGCCTTATGGATAGATCTTACAATTTATCTGCTGTTGAGACTTGCAGATCTGGTGTCACCCTGCCCCTCGGTGCTCTCCCCGTGCAGGTTCCGGGTGGTTGCCCGCAGTTTGTCCACCTTCCTCCTGGTGCAGATCCCTGCAGAGAGCCAGGTGCGCCTCAAGGCTGGCTTGGAGCCCAGACTGTCTCAGAAGGCTCAGCAGGTGAGGTGTGCGCATCTCTGGCTGCTTGACATGCCCTCTCCACCTGCTCGTTTAGCTTTTGGGGTGAACTTTGTAAGAGTCAAGTATTTCTTCAAGGTCAGTCCTGCTTTCACCTTGTTGCTAAGCTTTGGCAGCAGGACTCTTGTGTTTGACTTTGTCCTAAAGGTGATCCTGGGTAAAACTTCATACAGTGTTCTGTGTTAATATGAAGAATTCATTCTTTTTCAAAAATTCATTTTTGAATCTGGGACATTTAAAAGGAGCAGATGAACTTATGTCTGTAAAGCCTGACTCAGAAAGTTTGGTGCATAGCAGGTAGAAGGAATTTAAACAGGAAAAAACAGTGCTGCTGTGTTTGCACTGCTTTTCAGTGATAAAGCAGGGCTACACTCACGCTGACATTTGTTTATGTAAGGTCAGGGTTTAAAAGGCCTGTGACAAATAAACGTTCCCCCTTTAGAATGTGCACTGACCATGGTGTTCTTTCAGTAAGCGCTTGAGAAAAGGAAGAAGGAGTTGGTTAAAAACCAAAGTAAAGTCGCTTGGTACAGCTTGTTTCTCTAAGAAGAGAACAAAACTTGTTCAGAAATACTTTCCACATTTGCCCATTCTCATCCTGCCAACCGACTTCTCTACATAAGATTTTTAACTTGACAGTTAATATCTAACTTTAATACTATTAATGGGAGCAAAACAATACTTTCATGAAAGTCATTATGTTTATAAGAACAACCTAAAGTAAATATTTAAGTGTCTTGCAGCTTGTAGTTTGACATAATTTCTGTGAAACTGTCTTGAGTTCATGAAGTTGATATTTGACAATATTTGGGTTACAGAATCCTAGGAAGCAATAGCAGGACAGATTTTGTGTTGATCTTGGGGAAGAGAACAGGTTGAAAAATACAAGGTGACCTGAAATACTGTTACGAAATGGCAGTTTGCAACTGTTTTTTTCTGAGTACTCTGTGTTCTGTAGTAGGTGAGGATCCTTTAGGGGAATTGTGCAGATGGAGTTGTGTCACCGACTAAAATGCACAAAACTAACAGAATTTTCCCTTTTTGGCGTAGGCACTGAGTGCTCTCGAAGCCATGTCATCCAACAAACAATACGTGGATTACCAGGAGCAGCTGTCCCAGGCCTCTCTGTTCATCAAGCACCCTGAGCACTGCCTTCAGGATGGCAATAACCTCCTGTCCCTCCTGGTGAATACGCTGTACCCAGAAGTGCATTTTTTGGACAGCATCCGGTAGCGGTGCTGGGTGGGTAGCGGGCCAGCGGTGGTTCTGGTTTACAAACAGTGTCCTTATTGCACAAATGATTTTTACCTTCAGAGTTCCGCTTTAATTAAGTCAGACCTGCGAATAAGAACTGCACACTGTCAAGTTTTCTCCAAGGTTTTCTTGCTTTCCTTTTGTTTTTTAGGCCTGTGGAATTGCTTAATGGTTTGCATTTCTGGTCTTGTTTTGGTGTTTATTTTGTTTTTTTTTTTTTTGAATGAAAGCACTTAATATCTTCTGTGTGTGGTGCCCTTTGGAGAGATGGGTGCCTGGGGATAGGTGTACAAATCACAAGTCAGCACAGCTCATCCTGTAGTATCTGAAATTTTTGCTTGGTGCCTTTTTTTTTTTATTTCCCAGTGTGTCATCATTCAGACCAGTTCAAAAGTGAGTGGAGTATTGTGTGTAAAAGAGGTTTGACTTTCTTAACCAGGATACCTCTGAGTCTTACAATTTTACCTGAGTCTTACCTGTGTGTCTAACAATTTTTGTGAAATCCCTGTATTTGAAAGGATTGTATTTTAAACCTTGACTTTTTTGCTATCCCACAGAAGTCAATAGTTTAGAGGCATGCCTACAATCTTTACCCACTTCTGTAAATACCAACACAAATAGGAACTAAGAACATTGTTTTTCCTTGTTTTCTAAATATAGTGTGTCTGCATCTGTATTGCTTGATTAAATGCAAGTCACTTCTAGCCAAGTTCAAGGGGATTTAAATCCAGAGACATATTTTCTGGATCTCTAGTGTCTGAGAGGGGAACAGTCAGTTACGATCATGTTAAATAGGATTCCTTAATTCCTAAGTTTGGTTGTCTAGGAAATGTTTAATAACCACCACTTAAGCTTATTTTCTTCTGCCTGGCTGGCCATGACATGACAGGATTTTAGGTGACACTGTGAAGAGGTATTTTTGTTGTATTAAATTTGGTGATCACTTGTTAAAATTCTGTTGCCAAAGCATGAACCATGAGCCTGTAAATCTATTGTTTCAGCTGAATGATCACTGGTTTTGTTGCCTTGTCTGATCATAGGATGCACTTTTGTTTAGGAAAAGCAGAAGGCGAATTTTTCCTGGTGCTTGTCTGATGTCCCTTTAATCATTGATCTGTTTGAGCTGGCCCAAGGTCCTGCAATCCCAGTCCCTACAGCTCTATGAAGGAACTGATCACTTTTTCTCTTCCTCCATTAATTGTGCCTTTGTGTTTTTGACATGGTTGCAAGTTAAAACATGAGTTTGGGTCAATAGGGGATAGAAATGTGCTACCTACTGGTCAATGAAGCTTTGAGCTGTTGCTCTTAAACCATGGTTCTGGTGCTAGAGGACAGATTACCTTTTCCTTCTTGGCAGATTCTGCTAATTATGCCAGCTGGGTCATTAGATCACCGTCATTTTAATGTGGTCTTAGAGTTCTCTGCTCTATCTGCGAGCCTATAAATAAATATATATATGTACATCCCTCTGTATAGTAACCAGATACCAATGCAGCATGGTTTTTAACAGACTTTTTTGGAAAATTCATGTCTGGAGAAATGCATTCTGCTGCTTTTCCCCCCAAAGACTTAAAAGCACTGGGTTTATTAGGTTAAATGTTATTGATCAGTTGCATATAAATGTGAAGAAGTCAGAAGTATGTGTTTGACATGCACTTTCAAAATGAGGAATTGTTTCAGCTGTTGAGTTTTTACAAATGTTGTATTTATAACATGCTCTGTCTGCAAAGACCATGCAAAATAAAAATGGAAAATCAACCAGATGGTGACATACACTGTGATATTTTCAGCTTGGTAGAAGGATCCATGTCAGACAACACATAATTGCTGTATGTGTCACCTGCAGACAGTCTTCTGGCTTCTTGATCAGTGTGGTGGCTGAAGTCTGAACCTGTATTGCAGTTCTCTGTGCACATGTTAACTCCAGAGCTTGGGGCCTTATTTTCCAAGTGGTGCCAAACAGATTGACTTTTTATTCCTTGTAGTTTTACTGGAAGGGCTTTGGCATTCCCTGCATCTCCCAGATGGGTTCAATACCAGGAGCGTCCTGGTGGGTGCACTGCTGTGTTTTGTTCCTCCAGTTTATACTGGTTAGCGTGGGTGGTTTGAGTCTCCCATGAGGACCAGGGGAAACCAGCTGGTTTTGGGACCTGAGGAGTCTGATGCTTCTATTTGGACCCAAACTACTTGAGTTAAAGAAAGAATTTTTGAGAGAAAAATTCAGAAAGCCAAGCCTAAATCCCAGGCACAGGTAGAAGTGAGATCTCATTACTGTATGTCTGTAAATCATCAGGGCTCAGAAATCCAATTCAGTTTGTCCAACTGATGTCTCTGAGGTCTCTTTCATCTCTGACACCCGTGAAACTGAGCTTACAGGTCTGTGACTACACTGTCTGCCTTAACTTCCCTTTTCTCTTTACATCTCTTCTTATTTTTTATTAAATCTGGCTTTGTCACTGCTGGAATTTTAAGCAGGGATTTAAAAGATCAGGTTCAAGTATATCCTCCCGTTTATTTTTTCTTTCCCCGTTATCATTCTGGCCAAGTAATTTAAAATTCTGCTTTGCTCTCCCAGTGCAGATCTTATGAAGAGGTGGGCTTTAAAATAATGATTTGGAGCCTGGGGTCAAGCTTGTAAGCTTGATGATAGCAGTTTGGTGGTTGTTACCAGGAGCAGGATTGTTCGGGGAACAGTTTTGGAGCTGCTGCACTGAGATGGTTGCACAGAGCATCAAATCCAGCAGTATAAATGTGAAAGTAAGTTCAAGCCAACTGCTCTTTCTAAATTCTTTCTCCTCCTCCTCCTCATCTAAGCCAACTTGTTGCTGTCTCCAGCTCTATCCTGGGCCTCTGCTTGCCTCCCCAGGACTCCAGGTTGACCCACATTGCCCTATACCATAAGCTGGATCTGTTCGCTTGATCTTGGAGGATGTTTACAGTTGTGTAAGAGATTTGGCTGTGGTTTGCCTTAGGGACTTAATAGTCTTTGTGGTTTGGCAGTAGGACTTTATCTCAGAAGAGAGAGATTTAAGAAATGAGTAGTCAGACCTTAAAGAAACTCCTTTGGGTAATACAGAGATGGAAATTGTTTACAAATATTTTTTTAGCTATTAAAAACATAACAAAAAACCAACCCAACAATTTTGCGTATTGGAAAATTTTTCACAAAGCTCTGAGTTTCTGGGCACTAGGACCTGAAGCAGAGTTACAACACAGACTACTTTAGACTTCTCATATCCTGCTTTCAGCTCTACCAGTTTTTGGAAAACATCTTTTTTTCTTGGACTCTTCTTTAAAGTTAAGGTTTCGTTTTAAACTCTAAAATAAACTCTTTTGGACATTTAGGAATTATAATAATTTTTAAAAAAAGGAACAAGCCCCATCAGAAATTCTGGTAGTATTTTGCCACAGCTAGGATTTCTATCATGTCAGTACCCATTTGGATGTGGTTGGAGAAGCAGAGTGGTGAAAATGCTTTTCAGAGCAATATTTGAAAAATACTAAGCAAAAAGCTTTGAGGCAATTCTATACTATTGCCTGCTTGCTTAGGTATTTGATAGGGGCTAAAAACACAAATAAGTTAAAATTGACCACGTTTTGTCCTTCCAGCTCCATCACTCCTTCTTCTCTTTTCACCAAAAAGGCTGCTTTTACTTGTGAGGAGAAGCAGGGCTGGAACTCATTGCATTGTGGAAGGGAGCTTAGAGATGAAGCAGTTCCAAGCTACCCGAGGCTGGTCTGATCCCCTGTCCCTCAGCCAAGGCCGGTTCTGTGCTCCTTGGGGAAGGAGATCCGTGGGGATGGGTCCCGCTGGCCCCTCAGCTGCGCCTGGGTGTTGCCCCTGCCCTGGGCTGGGTCTGGCTGTGTCTGCGGTCACAATTCTCGTAGGTGCACTCCGGCAGCTGTGGCCTGGCAGGAGGAGATGTGGGAAAGGTGAGGGCGTTTCAGGCTGCTCTGGGATTTCACAGTGGTTCCAGTGGATGTCAGGAGAAGTGTCTGTGATACTCTGAGACAGAGCCTCTTCTACTTCACAGCAGTTTTAAGGGTCTCAGCTGCAACTACTGTTTTACACCATAAAGCTTTTACATCTTAAAGCATGCAGAACACTCTCCTGCACCTTTAGCAGCCACTGTGCTACTGGCCTGCCCAGAACCTCGTGAGGTGTGACAAACCAAGCTGCACCAACAGAAATACAGGTTGGGTATTAGGAAAAAAATTTTTACAGAAAGAGTGATAAAGTTCTGGAGTGGTCTGCCTGGAGAGGTGATGGACTCACCATCCCTGGATGTGTTTAAGAAAAGACTGGATGTGGCACTCAGTGCCATGGTTTAGTTGAGGTATTACGGCATGGGTTGGACTCAATGATCGTTAAGGTCTCTTCCAACCCAGTCATTCTGTGAATTCTGTGAAACCTCTTCTAGCAGGATCTTCTCATGTAAGTGTTGGCTTTAAGCATTCTTATCTGTGTAGGTATCTGTGCAAATTTAACCAAGGGTACAATGTGGTTTAGACCCTGATAAATCAGAAAAACGTGCTTTTTAATGCTTTTTTACAAGAAATTAGAGATGAGTGTATTATTAAATTAATTCCTTGTTTCTTTAGCTGTGCCCTCCCTGTACACTTGACTGTCCTACTAGAATGGTCAGGGAAGGAGACATGTGGGGTAACTCAGGAAGGAAGTATCACAAAGAAATGACTCAGATTGAAAGGGAGACACCCCATGCAGATGTAATTATCCTTGACCTCAGATAAGTCTTCTTTACTCTTAGGTCGAGGATTGGTTTTGGTGGGATTTGTTTTTGGGTTTTTTTTGGTTTGGTTTGGTTTTTGTTGTTGTTGTGGTTTTTTTTTTTTTTAATTTTTAAGAATTTTTTTCACATCAGAAGTTTGGCCACCCCAGTTGTCAGGAGTGTCCAAGATCAGTTGTGTTGGGTCATGGGAAATGCCAGAGGTTTGTGGGAACATGGTGTGGATGCCAGCCCAAGAATCAGGCCCTGTCACACCTGACCTGGGCTGTTTGCAGTCTCTTCCTGCATGTTTGGCTGAGCTCATCAGCTTTGTTAACTTTTTCTACTCTATTACAAACTGGGATGCAGAGGGAGGGTAAGATTTCTGTTTGACAGTGTCAGTACAGACCTCATCCCTGACCTTTCCCTTGGGTGGATGATCCTTTGCTGGTTTATTGTGGCATCACAGAACCACAGAATGGTTTGGGTTGGGAGGAAGCTTAAACCTCATTCAGTGCCACCTCCTGCCATGGGCAGGGACACCTTCCATTATCCCAGGCTGCTCCAAGCCCTGTCCAACCTGGACTGAGACACTTCCAGGGATCCAGGGGCAGCCACAGCTGCTCTGGGCACCCTGTGCCAGGGCCTGCCCACCCTCCCAGCCAGCAATTCCTTCCCAATATCCCATCTGTCCCTGCCCTCTGGCAGTGGAAGCCATTCCCTGTGTCCTGTCCCTCCCTGCCTTGTCCCCAGTCCCTCTGCAGCTCTCCTGGAGCCCCTTCAGGCCCTGGCAGGGGCTCTGAGCTCTCCCTGGAGCCTTCTCTTGTGCAGGTGAACAGCCCCAGCCTGTCTGCAGCCTTCCAGCCATGCTCTGGGCTTATGGCACATCTAAACTTCTGTCAGCTCTTTGCTGCTACAGCAGCCATGTGCACTGGTCTCTCCAAACTGCTGCCCAGGAGACTCCACTGGGGTCTCCTCTCAGCTGTGCCCAAGCCACAACCTCCTTCCAGCAATGTCCAGCCCTTGTTCCCTCACACTGGCTCACCTGGCCACCAGCTCAACCCTCTCCTTGCCTCAGCAGCCTGCTCTGAGGCCAGAAAGTCGTTACCAAGACCAAGGACAAGCTGCATTTCTCACCTTGGCCATCCTCACTCTCCCACGGGATAACATGACTAGAAGGCAAGACATACTTACCTGGCCAGGCTGGGTGGAGCAGAGGGGGGACCTGTGAAATGGAAATGATGATGTGGCTTAGGAATGAGGTCAGAATGGGCTGGGAGAGCCAGGAGTGACCTAGAGCTCCTGAGAATCTGCACTGGAGTGTGGTTGTGACACTACAGTGAATGGGAAGAAGCCCTGAAGTCTGGCATGTGGCCCTCTCCATGTGCTTGGGAATTAGGCACTGGAATATAAGGAGCAAAGCATTTTGGGTTGGTCTGACAACTTCTACTGTTCAAGGCAAGTGGTGGCTTCCATGAGTGTGACATCAGACTGTCCCTGCAGATGGGTCACAGTGATGTGACATCTCATTCTTCTCAGTCCCCTCCTGCCCATGCCACCACTCAGCAGCACTGGAGGGCTGGGGACCAGTGGCCTCCTGACTGTTTGGGATGTGGTATCCCTAAGCCCATGGTCAGATTTTCATCTCCTGTAATCTCTCCCTGATCTCACAGCCTTGGCGTGGCTGGGATTTCACAAATCTTGGGAAGTACTGGGTAGTGAGGCCCTGGGGGACTGACAGGGGCAGTCTGTTAAATGAGGATGCCCATCCCAGGAGATTAAACTTGGGTGGGATGCAGCAAAGGTAAATCCTGGCTGTGGGCTACAGGGGAAGATATAGTAATTAGCCTGCTTCAAGGGAAAAAAAAAATCTGGTTATGTAGGCAGTGGGTTCTCCACTGATTTCCCCTTATCAACATTTCTTCTTGGGCACAGGGAAATTCCTGCTCCCTCTGAATTTCCAAAGGACATTTCCAAATTTCCTCTCCTAGCAGCCTGTGAAGAGCCAGCCAAAAGGTCTTGACTCTTAGGTTTTCTGCTAGAATTGTGCTTCTCCTAGGGCAGAAAATCATAAAATCATTAACACTCCCTCCCCCAAACAAACCCAGTCCCCTTCTGCCTGACCTCTCTGCACATCCATCCCTGGTTGCCAGTCAGATGGAGGGAAGTCTGGACACTGACCTTCTCTGGGGAAAGCGGTGAAGCTCAGTATCACCAGCAAAATGACCACCTTGATTCCCAGCGGGACAAAGATCAGGATCATGAAGGAGGAGCTGTCGGAGGCTCTGAATTTGTAGAAGTAGATGGCCCCCTCTGCCCTGCCGTGGCTGTTGACAGCGGTGCAGGTGTATTTCCCATCATGGGTCAGGGATCGCAGCTCCTTGGTGACGCGGTGGCTGGAGCTGCTGGTGGAGCTCAGGTTGCTGTAGGGGGGCCCACTCCAGGTCAGGGCGGGTGCTGGCTCCCCCTCGGCCGTGCAGCGGGCCTGGAAGGTGTGGTCCCTGCTGGAGCTGACCGTGATGTTAATGATCCTGGGGGCGGCTGTGGGTATCACAATGGAGGGGAGGGAAAGTGGGTCAGGCTGCAAAGGAGGATCAGGTGCAGAACAGCTGGAATGAAGATTTGGTCTTGGTGGACCCTCAGCGTTGTTCTGTCAGGGTAAAGTTGGATTCTGGTGGGTGAGAGCTGGACCTGCCCCAGCCTGAACCTCCCTGCCCTGGGCTGATCCCCCAGCATGGGCAGCAGGGCAGGGGGGATTCTGCCCCTCTGCCCCTGTGCACAGCTGAGACCCTACCTGCAGAGCTGCCCCAGCCCTGGCTCCAGCAGCACAAGGACGTGGAGCTGCTGGAACCAGTCCAGAGGAGGCCGTGGAGTGGCTGCCAGGGCTGGAGCCCCTCTGCTCTGGAGCCAGCCTGGCAGAGCTGGGGCTGTTCACCTGCACAAGAGAAGGCTCCAGGGAGAGCTCAGAGCCCCTGCCAGGGCCTGAAGGGGCTCCAAGCAAAATGGGGATAAATTTTTTAGCAGGACATTTTGTGACAGGACAAGGGTTGATGTTTTGAAGCTAAAAGAGTAGAGATTTAGATTTGATGTAAAGAGGAATTTTTTTGAAAAGAGGGTTGCCCAGAGAAGCTGTCACTGCCTCTGGATCCCTGGAAGTCTCCAAGGCCAGGTTGGACAGGCTTTGGAGCAACATCATCTAATGGAACGTGTTCCCTTCCCATGGCAGGGGGGTTGGACAAGATGAGCTTTAAAGGTTCTCTTCAATAGAAATTATGTAATGACTCTATGGAAAGTTGTATCAGCCCTCTCCTTCCCTGTTTTTCTTGGCAATTTCTTCTAGATTTCCCCACTCAGCATGTGTTGGATTAAGGGGCAAAAGGGTTCACCCAGCAAAGCCTGGATGTAAGGATGTGATCTCTGTTTTATCTCAGTAATGGCTCACACATTCTTCTGAACTTTGCCCATCTTCAGCTGTTGGGCACACCTTTTTTGGGGTCAGAAGGCAGAGAAGTGCCATCCACCATTGTAGGTACAGGTGCAGCTGGTGACCTTACTGGACTTGGCTGCATCTCCACAAGGTCCAGGACATGTCACCCACAGTGTTTCGCACAAGCATTTTGTGGCTGTTCCTTTGATCTCTGACCTGCAGAGCACACTGCATGAGGAAGGACCCGTTTATGTGAGCCCTTTCCTCAGTGCCTGAGACTTGCCGGATTTGGCAGGTTTGTTATAGGGAAAATATCTGCTTCCTGCCACAATCTATTTTTGATCACTTTTTTTCCAGCCCCAGAGTTACCAGGTCACTTTCAGGTTGGACATTAGGAGAAATTTTCTTCACTGAAAGGGTGATTGGATATTGGAAGGGGCTGCCCAGGGAGATGGTGGAGCCCTCACCCCTAGAAGTGTTTAAAAAGGTGTTACAGAAAGCGAAGAGCATTAAATGTCCTCGCAGTGGAAGAGCAGGAATTAATTTTTTTCAGACTAGACAACGAAAATAGAGTTTCCAAACACCTATTACAAGTCATTCGCTTTGTCCACGTAGTGCAAGAGGAGTCTGAGGCTGTGTGTCATGGGTCTGTGTGTTTTGATATTTAACCTTTCAAACACTAATTAACCTCTCCCAATCACAGTGTCAGGACCCATTCCTGAGCAGGGTACTGTGTCCTGTGTGTGTTATCATTCCTCTGGTGTTAAAATCCACACAGCCCCTGAGAAACAGGTCTTGCTGCCATCCTGCCCTGATCCTGCTGTTTGTGGTGTTCAGGAACTGGTGTAACTGAAGGAGAGCCTCAGCTGTGCAGAACTTCTCAAGAAACAGCCAAGCTTATCCTCGGGTCCCATCTGGACACCCATACTGCAACAGGCATAAGGAACTTCCTCTCAAAAGCAAAATCATTCAACCTCATGGCCTGGGTAAGATCTGAGTCTGCTTCTGAGACCTCCTGTGTCTCCTAGCTCCCCCTTATTCTGTGAGTTTGCCCCAGGAAGTGGGATTAACATTTGACATTTGTTGCTCCCAGCTGGTTTTCCAGGGAAGAAAAGGTTTCCAGGTTTGTGCTTCATGCTCCAGAGGATTTATGGCACCTGGGTACCAGGTATCTTGTCTTTCCAATCCCCTGTCACCACCCAGGCCCTGCAGTGCTGACACCTGTGAATTTGTGCTCAGCACCTGGGCTGTCCAGTTCAGGGTCTGATGGAGAGGATGTCTCTAACCCCAGTTTAGCTAACCCCAGTTTCCCTCTGCTGCCTGCCCTGATCCTGTGCTGCAAGGGACAAAGTGGGATGCACAGCTTTTGGTGGGCTCTCACCCCAGCTGCTGTTTCCTTACCAGTTTTGTTCCTGTTCCCTTCCCCCACTGTCTGAGGAGGACAATGAATTTTCCCTGTTGTAATGGAGAAAGAAAACCCAACCCTTTGGAAAACCACCTCCGGTAAACTTCTGCTGCCATTTGTCATTTCCCACACCCTGTGGTTCTTCCCCAGATAGTGACTTTGCCTCCTTTGCCTCTCAGGCCCTCTTACCAATCACATGCAGCTTTATCCCATTCCTGCTTTCATACTTGTCCTGGATATCTCCAGCCAGCTCCACCCGACAGAAGTACCTTTCGCTGTCACTCCAGGTCAGGTTGTCCACCCTGATGGACAGGTCCTTGTGCCGGGGATTGCCCAGCAGTTTGTACTTGTTCTTGTGGCTGATGGCAGTCTTGCAGAGCTCACTGCTGCTCTGGCTCACACACTTGAAGATCACTGTGCCGTTGTAAGGCTCCTTGATCCTCCAGATGGCTGTGAGGGCCCGGTCAAATGTTTTGTAGGGGTGTGTGAAGGTGCAGGGTAGGATAACCATCTTCCCAAGCTCTCCAGTAACGTCAGACGGGACGTGGACAGACCAGCCATTGCACTGCACACCTACAAGCAAGAAGGGATCATGGAATTGCGGAATGGTTGGATGGAACGGGCCTTAAAATTTGTTTCATTCCACCCCCCTGTCATGGACAGGGCCATGTCATGGACAGCGTGGCCTTGGACACTTCCAGTGATCCAGAGGCACCCACAGCTTCTTTGGGCAACCTGTGCCAGGGCCTCACCACCCCCACAGCCAAGAATTTCTTTCTAGTATCTAATCTAAATCTCCTCTCTTTCAGTGTAATATATAGACATGTCTAGACATATATCTACCCAGTGTTCTGCTGCTATCAACAGCTGTAGCAGCAGATTATGTCTTCAGAAACATCTGTGTCTACATTCCTGTCTTGTGAAACTCCATTATATCGAGACTCTCAATAGCTAAGAACACCTGTAAAATGGAAAAGCATCCTGTAAGTATTTCCACCCATCCCTGGTCTTGTTGTAAGACCAGGTCTGTAATCCAACAGCTGGGCATTCAGCTGTTGGATTACTCCTGTGGACTCAAAGATAAGATTTTTTTTTTGTTCTTGTATCTGTGGCCCATAACACTTGACAAACACCTACGTGGCAGTGCAGCTTGTATTAATGTATTGTGTGTTACACAATGGACAAAGGCCATCCTAGGGCCAGTTCTCTGTTCAGATATTTACATAGAGTCAGCTCCAAGCCAGTATTTTGATTACTGAGACCTGGAGTTGTGCTGCCCTGTCATACACAATGATGGTATGGGCACCTTTTCCAGCCCAGGTAATCTAATAAACAATACTGCAGCACTGCGGGAGCTTCATGAAGCTCATGGGCTTTGAGCACAAACATCTGGCACTGAAAACAGTAATTGCTATTGCTTTCTAGCTTATTTGCTGTTGTTTTAGTTATTTTGCAGCATGTCACTGTAACCTTTACTTTAGGAGAACTGTAGATGGTGTGCTTTTAAGTATGACATACTTCTCTCTGCCACCCCTTTGATTTGCCTTTTTTTTGTTTGTTTTCAATCTTAAGCAAAGAACACTTTTTTTTTTTTTTTAGCACATAAGCCCCCCTTGCCTTCCAGATGAAAAATAATGTTAAAAATAAGTGCTTTTAATGTTAGCATCTCCGCCCATTTCCATGGAAACACAGTTTGCCTAGTTATGAGTGGAGTGAGCTGTCAACTTTATCTGTATAATTTACCCTTAACGCTAAAGCCTCAGAGTGGCAGATCTTTCATATTCCTTTTGTTACCATCCAGCCTCCATTTGCTAATGGAACTGTAGCTCTCACAAGAAAGAGACAGGCAAATAGCCTACACACCTTACAGAAGGTACCTCCAAAAGGAGTTGTTAGGTCAGTGTTACTGCTGGTGGTCAGTGGGAAAAGTCATGAGGACAACAGCAAGAGCTGGGGACCAGCTCACAACTACACTTGCTCTGGCAAATGCTGTTTGGCAGTGAAGCTTAGCAAATCCTATGGAGTTTAATGGAATTTAAACACATATTTGAAGTGATGTGAGCTTGTGCTCAGTGGAACTGGAAAATATTTTTGCATAATAACTCCTAAGGAATATGAAGCAGAGCAGTGATGAAAATGCTGCATCCACTGAACAATGCTGGGGAAAAGTCAGATGAACTTTCTGCTCAAATTAGGAAAACAGAAAAATGCAAAAACACCCACAAACTGATGACCTCTCTGACAATTGCTAAGCCTGAGTTTTCTCAGTGTTGTAACATGCACTTGGAATTTCAGAATACTTCTAAGCAACGTGATGGAGAATGCAATTCTTGGAGAGTTTGTCATAGCAGGCAGTTCCCTGGCACTTGGACTAGGGTGAGAGGAGAAGCTATGATCAGACAGGGGCTGATAGCAAGCTTGGAACTCACCCTTCCTGGAGATGCGGAGGAGGCACAGGAGAACCAAGCTGAGCTCTTTCATGCTGCACAATGTTCTCCCCTGAGAGGCATCAGCAAACCAGAACCATCTTGTTACATCTGAGCTGCTGGTCTTGCAGTGACGAAAGGTTTTTCCAGGGGTAGGAGAAGTTGTGGTTTTCTCCTCCTTGGAGGGAATGAGTTGTTGAGCTGAACCAGCTCTGGGTTCAGGTATTAATAGTTCAGCCGTCAGTCATATGAAAATTACAGTAGAAGGAATCACAGTATTAATATTTTTCCAGCTAAAGGGAGGGAATTGTAGACCGGAGCTCCAGACATTCAATGCCATGTGTGTGATGGGACAAGAGGGGATGGCTTTTGCCACCCAGTCACCAGCCCAGAGGAAATCCTTGCAATCTGCCTGAGGCTGTAACAAGCAAGACTCTTACTGTCCTAGCTTAAGGCAGTTCCTTCTCTTGAACCTGGAGCCTTCAAACCAACTGTGCTTTACCCCTTGTGCTCACTGGATATTGTAATCCCTAGGTATTGAAAAAACCTCAAACCACTCTTCTTTTGAAGGCACTTGTGCCAAGGTTCACTGGTGGATGAGTGGTTTGGTGTCCCCTGGCACCCTGCTCTGTCCACACTCACATGATCCTGGATGAGCGATGAGTCATTCCCTCCTTTGAAATAGGATGAATTCCAATTCTTTGCCCAGCATCCTTGTGTAGATGCTTACTGCTTTCCTTCTGGGTTTAGTTTTATCAAATTAACTGTGCGGTTTGCTCATCTGCAGAGCTCGGGGCCTATGGGGAGCTTGGTGGTGTTTCCCCCTGGCCATCTCCCTTATGGCGATCTTGTGGCTAGGTTTAACAACTCTGGGGTGTGAATTCCCTGTCTGGGTTCACCTTGAGGTTTGTTGCCTTTGCTTCAGGCCAAAGGAAGGAGGGAGGAATGTTGTGTGCCTGAAGGGTCTCGCTTTGTCCGGGGTGCTGCCTCCCTCCTGGATGGTTACAGGGACAGCAGCACCCACCCGACTCACACAGCTTGGGCAGGGCTTGCAGCAGCCTGGTCTAGCGGAAGGTGTCTCTACCCCTGGTGGGAACGGGATGATGTTTCAGGCGCCTCCCATCCAAAAGCATTCCGTGATTCCCTCTGTAGGCAGCCGCTGGGGGGCTCCCAGAGCCAGGACAAGACGTTGCTGAGTGTCTGCTGCCACTTTCCGTGTGCCCAGAGCCAGCGCCCACCCGCAGGAGCGATGCCAGGGCTCCCCTTGGCGCTTCATCCCTGCTCCTGCACCTCTGTTCCCTTCTGAACTTGAGGAAAATCTCCTACGAGGGGGACCTGGAGATGTGGTAGTGTGCTGTGTGTTCACCACTTCCTGATCCCTTTTTTCCTTCTGTGTATAGTGTTTGTCAAGAGAGAGATTTCTGGTTTCCCCAGGCTTTTTGGAGGAGGCTCTGAGAGTACCCAGATCTTATTTAGGGTTTGTTTGGACTTGCTGCCACTCAGCCAAGGGTGTTAATTTTTCAAATGCCCACTTAGATCCCTGCCCTGTCCCTTCTGCAGGTCATCCTTGAGCAGAAGCATCAGGACCAGTGTTCTGATTACTTTGCAAACTCTCCTTAGTAGCTGTTAAACATAATTCATGCCACCAGCCGCTGAGGAACCAGAGGGTAAGGGTAAGAGACCTGTAATCTCTATCACATCTGTGCTATGCTCCTTTTCTGTGTGCCTCCCCCTTCTTCCCCTGTGTGCGGTTTGATTTTATCTATTTGTGATGTAAAGTTTTTGGTGGTGTGACTCTTTTTAAGCCTTTCACCACTCATGGCACAGTGGGACTCAGTGGATTGAAGTAAAAGATTAAAGTGAAATCCATGTTAAAAACATCTTGTTACAGTGAAGCATAAATGATTCATGTAAAGAACAGCTGCAGTTAACACCAGGATGATCCTCTTCCTCTTTAATGTTTTACTGCAACATCTCCAAAAAAAATATCTGGAAAATCAGAGCAGAGCTACAGATCCTTTGAGTTTTATCTGTGGACAGATTTTCTTCTTGGAAGAAGAAAATTTTCATTCCATGGCTGTTGGAATGAAGGATTTTAGTGTTTAAAATACAGAGTTGGTAACATATAGCTGAAAAGATTTACTATTATTTGAATCAGCCAAAAATTTTTGTAAACAAAATCATCCATGACTATGGATGATCCGCAGACTCTGCGACCTTTTTTCCCCTGGTCTGTGCTTAAATAGTATGTAAGATTTCAGTATGGAGGCCTGCTTCTGGTCCAATACCAAAACCAGGATGCTGTCCATATTTATCAAATACTGGTTTTAGTACTAGTAAATTTAAAGGCTGCAAATAATGACATTTCTCCTGTCTCCTTAAAGAAATTCCTGCAGTTTTTTGTGATGAACTGGGTGGTTTCAGAGGGCTTTTCAACCTAAATGGTTCCATGGCTCTGTGGTTGGGTGGTGATGATCTGCACCCAAATTGCAATGTGTGGCTGGAGATGAGCACAGCAGAGCTCATCCCTCCTGGTCCCAGGAGGTCCAAAGCAAAGAGTTATTTGTATAGCTGCACCTGTGCAGCTATAAAAATTCACCCCCTTAGTCAGGGGCCAGAGTAAAGATGGTTCTTCCCCCTCCCTCCCTTTAGGTCTTAGTTTCAGTCCCAAGGTTTTCTACTTTAATTATTTCACCATTATGTGGGTTCCTAGTGCTCTGAGAGTGCCAACCTGCACACATTCAAAGCAAAAGCCTGGTGTTTTGTCACATCTGACTCTCTTCCCTGAAGGGATTGGCTCTGTGAAGCACTGGGAAGGGAAGCTGGGAGGACAGGGGGGTTTTCCCTCTGTCTGGTCCCTGTCAGCAGCAGAAAGTGGAGCCATGCTCCTCTTTTTGTGAAGCTTCTGTGGGCTGCCCATCTTCCCTCTGCATCCACTTCATCCTCACCAAGTAAGAGGCTGAAAAAAAAAAAATTATGGGTGAACCTACAGAGCAGGGAAAGTAGAAGGGTGTAAAATGCAGGCACCATTATAGTTGGTGACACTGATCCTGTTTCCTGGCTTTGAGTGTTGCTGCAGAACACTGTCACCACTGCCTCAAGCTCCTGCTGATCTGGTTTGAAAGTTACAAAATTCTATAGGTTCAGTCTCCTGCCTGTGGTGTTTGTTCAGGCCTTCACCAATGCTCCTGACCTGGGAGGTGCTCCTGCCTGCCGTCCCATTGCTCCAAGTGTGGGCCTGTTCCATCACCAAAGCTGTGTTGGCAGGCTGATGGAGCTGGAACATGGGTGCTGGTGAACCCTTATTGCCTCTCGTGAGCATCAGCCAAAGCAAATTAAGTGTATAATTGAGTAATTTGCACCTATCAGGCAATTACTGCATGAAAAACAGCAGTGCATGCCAGTGGAAAAAGGCAAAGGAAGTGTCTCTTTCTAAGCTGTTTATTGATGTAGCTTGATGTAGTGATGTCCATTGAGCTGGGTGAACTGCTCTGATCTCCCAAACCTTTGCATTTCTGCCCCTGCTGCTGCCTGTTCACATCTTGTGCCCTGCTCTGACTGTGGGACACCTGCAGACAGGCAGTGCTGTGCTGCTCTCTGCTCTGCCCATACCAAGGCAGGTCAAAGCCAATGAGGGGATGATCCTGGGGCCTTGGTAGTGCTGGTCCTCACTCCTGCAAACTGGTCCTGGTCCCAAGCCCAGCCAACTGTGTAGATTCCCCTGCTCTAACCATGGCTTAGTGCTGATGTGGCCACTCATTACAGGAACCCCAAGAGACCTCTGACATCTGTATCAACTGGCTAAATGACAGCTGTGGAATGTTTTAGGACTTCCAGCCTCCTCAGACCCATGTCAGCTCACCAGCCACTGAGTGTCCTATCCTGGCCTGGGCATTCTGTCACCCAAACAAGGACAGAGGGTCTGGTTTGGTCTCTGTGTGATACTGGGATTAGCCTGAGCCAGGAGCTGAGCCAGCTGGCAGGGCAGAGACGCCGAACATCCCATTAGACTAATCCAAATGATGTGTCTGATCAAAGGCACTTGAAATGCCACCAGAACAGAGGTCCCTGCCTACCCTTCCTACTGAAAGTCAGCCTTTGGAGATTTATGTGCTCTGTCTCTCCCTGCTGAATGGGCACAGCTGGAGATTTAAGGATTTATGATCCTCTAGTTGTAGATTTCATAGCCCTTCTCTGGGATGGGAGCTGCTCTTCTTTGGGAAGAGTGTGGACCGTTTTTTCCCACCAGGCCACACAATATCTGAAGCACATCCTGAACTTTCCTTTGACAGAACATTCTTGGCCAGTGAAAAGGGGTGGGTCTGATCCGTGATCTGAACTTTGCTGCCTCACTTCACAGGTTCCAAACAGATTCAGAAGCACTCAGAATGAGATGTAGTAATGAATGTGGCACCTCTCTAGAATATGCCTCTGGAGAATAACTCTACACCTCTTGTCACTCGCTCACCCACATCCTGCCTTGCTTGAGATCCTGTGCCCTTTAAAGTGGCATTTATTGTGGCATCTTCTCTGAGAAATGTTCCATCCTGTTGTCCTTTGTCCTTCCTAAGCTCTGCTAGCCTGTAGTGTTTTCACTGATTTAAATGCAAAGTTTAACCAGAATGCTGTAATGGCTTTTGGTTGATTGGGTTTTTTTTTTTTTTGGTTTGTTTTTTTTTTTTTTTAATTTATTTTATTTTTTTTGGCTGGAATCTTGGTGGTTAAACCTGGACTGTCTAGCCATTTCCTCTTGCTGGTGAACTTCAGCTGAATTTCTCCACTTGGCATTACCTGTTGCTGTGTGACTCCAGAAGTGCTTTGACTGCTCCTCAGCTTCTGTAAGGATCATCCACAGGTTTGTAACCTTGCAAGGGTACCTCACTATCATCTCTACTCTTAAAAATGGCCCAGCATGAGTTTGAAACTAATAAAGGCCAGAGGATACCATTGTGTTTGTTAATCTATTCTGCTATGTAATTTCTAGCATAGCCTAGAGGGTTTTCATCCATTTGCTCCTGAACTGAATTCCAAACCTTGGATTTGACCTTGGTGCTGAGATACCATGTGTGAAAGGAAGAAGTGGAGGGAGGCACAGCTCCCACAGCCCCTGCACTGTGCCAGTGTGGGAGGAGAGCTGCAGCTCTGAAGCCAAGCTGTTGAGATAATAAATGAGGCAGGGCTGCGTGATCACTCTTCCCCACAAACTGTGTCCAGAGGCAATATTCACTGACAGCCTTGACCTGATTGACCCAGGACTGTCTATGCTACAGTTAAATCTGCCACTGAGTTATAGGCAGAGGCTAGAGTGTGTCAATGGCATTGTAGATACTTGTGCCTTTAAGGAGACCACAACAAATAATTTTTGTAGGTAGCACATGACCTGGGTGAAGAGCAGGCAGTGTTCTGAACTGGTGTTGGAACAGGAGACCTTGACTTGAATTCTTGGCAGAGCCTGTCAGTGCAAGATCAGCTCCTTTCTAGCTGGGACAGGAATTAGATGAGAGAGATGAAGGCAGCAACTTCCCTTGCCCTGATGGAGTGATCTGCCTCTGGCAGAGCCAAGAGAAGTAATTTTTGCCTTGTGGCAGGGGTTCCCCAGAAGGCAGTTTGGTGGTGGGCTTTTCTTGCAGTTAAACTTTCACTGGGGTTGTTCTTAGAGTCTGGTTTTCTCAGTGGGTGTGATTTTCTAACTGATGCATGCAGCAGGGCTTACAGAGGACTTACTAAATCAAAATCATATAAATGCAGAATCACAGACTCAAAGTTATTGCCTGTGTGTTTACTCTTTACTTTAACCTCAGGAAACATTTCAGGTAAAGTGGAACCTTTAGTGGCAATAGGTGGCAAAATATATGTAAGTGTCCAAAACCTGCTGTCTGTGCTGTTGGTGCTGAGCTGGATCAGAAAGTACCAAAAATGGAAGTATCATGTGAATTGTAGCATGTAAAGGAATGTATAGAATCATAGAGTGGGTTGGGTTAGAAGGCACCTTAAAGATCACCTAGTTTCAACCTCCCTGCCATGGACAGAGACACCTTCCACTATCCCAGGTTGTTCCAAGCCCTGTCCAGCCTGTCCTTGAACACTTCCAGGGATGGAATGGCCACAGTTTCACTGGGCAACCTTTGTCAGTCTCCCTCACAAGGGAGAATTTTTTCCTAATATCTAATCTACACCTACTCTCAGTTTGAAGAAAACTTGCCTTTTTTGCTTTTGCTTCCTCTGATCTCTGATAGCACAGAAGTGCTCCCAAAAAAGCCAGTGCTAACTCTAAAGGCCAGTGTAACCTTTACTTAATTGCAAGACTGACATAACCTCATGTGGCTCTTGAGATACAGAGTGAGATAAGGCCCCTGCCTAGGGGAGCTCAATCTCATTAACAGTGACTGATGATGGCATTGACTCCTGGGATTAAGATCAGAGGCTGATAAGGTGGAGGAGAGGTGCTATGGGGAGTGCATTGTTCATATCAACTCTCACCTCATGTGGGTTGGAGCAAATAGTAGATAATTTACATTCCTCAATACTCCCTGCTCACAACCGTATGTGCGCGTTGCTGTTGGCTCACTGGCAGGGTCCTGCTGGAAGCTCAGCGTTCCTGTACAGGCAGGATTGGAAAGGGAACTCCCCAGGATTCTTGAAACAGAGGTGGCAGAGTGAGAGACGCTGAGGAAGTGTGGTGGCAAGGTGGGGTGGAGGAGAGCTGCAGCCTGGAGTGTGGCAGAGGTGATGCTGCATTGTCAGAGCGCAGCAGAGCCATGGAGCTGAGGGCAGGAAGGACCCCCTTGCATGAGGATACTTCATAGAATATCCTGTGTTGGGAGGGACCCACAGGATCATGGAGTCCAGCTCACAGCCCTGCACAGACACCACAACAATCCCACCCTGGGCATCCCTGGCAGCGCTGTCCAAACTCTCCTGGAGCTCTGCAGCCTCAGGGCCATGCCCATTCCCTGGGGAGCCTGGACAGTGCCCAAAAACCTCTGGGGGAAGAATCTTTTTTCCTGATATCCAACCTAATGCTCTCCTGGCAGAGCTCCAGCCATTCCTTTGGTCCTGTTCCTGCTCACAGACAGCAGAGATTGCTGCCTACCATTTCCATACAATAATTTCTCTTCTCTTCAGTCCTGAGCCCTCTTATGGATTGTGGTCTTTATAAAGAGACTACCTTAAAGCACAGTGAGATGGGAGAGAGCCAGGGCATCAGCACGATGAAATTTGGTCAGGCTGCAGGGTAGATAAAACACTGGTGGACTAGAGCTGAGATCAGGTAAAGCAGGTGGTGAAGGGACTGTGCTGGTTAGGAGTGGACTTGATGGATGGAGAGAACAGTTAATGGCATTCTTGGCAGACAGGGCAGGCGGGTTTCTCACAAAGCTCTGCTTCTCATGTGACATCCTCAGAGACCTCGGTGCACTTAACCAGAAGGGCTCTGCAGTCTCTGCAGGCAAGCTTTTCCTGGGCTTTCCACAATCCACTGGGCTGGGGCTGGGCTTACCTTTGGGGTTTTTGAGATTCACTCTGCCATGTTTGTAGCATGTCCTTAAGCATGCAAACTGTTAAAAACATGTGTCCCTGGGTTGCTTATGTTGTAGTTCCCAGCATGTAAGATGGAAAGGAGGTTTCTGTTTCTGTTGGGGATCTGGGTGACTGAGGCCATCCACAGGCAGGCTTGGAAGCAGTGGAATGCAGGTCATCGCATCATAAAATAGTTTGGGTTAGAAAGAACTTTAAAGCTCAATTAGTTCCACCTGCTGCCATGGGCAGGGACACCTTCCGCTATCCCAGGTTGCTCCAAGCCCTGTCCAAACTGGCCTTGGGCACTTCCAAGGATGGGGCAGCCACAGCTGCTCTGGGCACCCTGTGCCAGTTTGTCATAGAGAGAATTTATGATTCAGCCCATGTTGATGAAACACGGCCAATTTCTTGTAGACAAAGAGCATTGTTTTGGTACAGATAATCACATTGTGGAAAGATTAGCCCATGATTTAGCAATGAAGAAGAGCAGACGTGTACATCCTCTGTGGTACAATCACTCATTTGTCAGGTTCAGTTATTTTGAATAGTCAGGGTTTTGCCCTTTTTCTCTGAGTATATAAACAATTCTGAGTTATCTTCTGAATGCTGTTGGATAAGTTCCCAAGAGAACTTAAATCTTGGATGGATTTGTAACATGACTGTAGGCAACTGTCTTCTCCAGTCCTGGTTTGTGGTTACCCCTCCTGTGACCAGTGGAAATTTTGGTCATGTGTATGTGAGGAGCACTGGAACAGCCCTATGTGTCTAAGTCAGACTGTTTGGGTGCTTTTCTTTTGTTGCTTTCTCACAGCTTCATCTAAAATCACATATTTCTGCAAGTCTTACAAACAGCCATCATTCTTTGGAAGGAAAATGCAACAAAGGAATGTGCAAAAATTGCTGGCATGATGATAAGTCACCTGACAAATGGGGCTTCTGTTGGCTCCTTGGATTTATTACCTAAACCTGCAGCATACAAGTTAGCAGTGTCCTTTGGGAGAAGCATTGTTGTATGGACTTTCCTGTGTGGCATTCTTCTGGACATTCCTCCTCAGCTACTTGGGCTTCAAAATCCCCTGGCCTGTCATGTGCTCTAGCTTGAAGGCAGGCACTTGTTTTGCCTGGATGGTGTGTGTAAACCTGGTGGGTTCCCTGCAGAATTCCCACTCTGGGAGGAAGTGACGTGCTTACAGATGAGATTTCCAGCACTGGGAGGGACCTAATGGATGGTTTGATTTGTTATGGAGGACCATCACACAAAGTCTCAGCAGAGTTTAGGCTGGACCTGTGCAGATTGCATCCCCTGTGTGCAATTCCTCTTTTGGCACCTGCTGGTGCTAAGGATGAAAGACAAGTTCTGCTTTCAGCAGGTACTAGTCAGGGGAAAATGTTCATCTGGAATTTCCATTGCAGGCAAAATATGAAAAAAATGAACTCTTCTGTGATAATGAAAAAAGCCTTTGATATTCAGTGAGTAAAGCCTGGATGTCTCAGTCTCACTCAGCCTGTGTCTGAGGCAGACCATTAGATGTTAGATGTTGCTCGTTTCTGTGACACCCCCATCGCTGCCTCTCATCACATCTTCAAATGTGCACAGGGATAAGCACAGGTCTCCTTTTCTTTTCCGCTCTCGCTACTCTGCTCTTATTCTCCAGCAGGACTTGCAGTGCACAACATAAAATCATAGGCTCAAACATTAAGGTTGGAAAAGAACTCTGAGATCATAGAGTTCAGCCCTTAACCTGAAATTGCGCTGAATTCGCCACTCAACCATGGCCCCAAGTGCCACATGCCTTTTGAACACTTCCAGGGATGCAGATTCCACCAGTGCACTGAGTACCGTGTTCCAGTGCCCAACCATCTTTTCTGTGGAGAAAATTTTCACAATATCCAGGCTAAATCTCCCCTGGCACAATTTGAGGCCACATCAAACATCTCTCATTTGGTTTATTAGGGGAATTTGCTCTTTCAAAACTATTCTATCTCCTCTCTCTGCCTTGATCCGCATTCACCCTTGTCTTAGTAAAATAAAAAGCTATAAAATGGCAAATTAATCCCAAAGCTGTATCAGTCATGTTTTGGCTATGTATAATCTTGTGCTCTCTTATGTAAAACCCCATTATGTTTTGGTCTTTTGTTGCACTGCTGTGTGGATCCTTTCTTTTTTGAAGCAGTTAGGTTTTTTTTTTTTTAATTTTTTATTTTCTAGATAATTAGTGTAAACTAAAAATGTCTTCTCTATCATGGGATTGAAAGGTGGTCAAATTACATGTTATCTGCCCATTCTGAATGCCTCAGTGATGGTTTTGTTGATTTCCCAGGTCTTTAGTGTTGATCCTGCGCCTGGATGGAGTAAGTTGCTGGAGCTGTGGAGCCTTTTATCAGGTTACATGTTTTTTATCATTCTCCATCCCACAGAAATAGAATTCTGTGTCTTTAGGGTTTTTTTAATCAGGAGAGAAATGGATAGTATGTACTTCCTAAGAAGCTCCTGAGGGCAGCTGGGGTGGGGTGAACTCCGGTGAGGATCCTGCTCATGGGTGACTGCAGATGGACAGTGAAGGTGCAAGGAGATACTGAATAACCTCTGGTAGAAACTGGAGGTGTTGCAGCTAAAGAATGTCAAGGATTAGTGGATTTGAAATGTTCAGTGGGGTGGAGAAGTCAGAATTCTTTCACAGAGATATTGCATGAAGGAAAACAGCACAAAAAATGGCTAATGACCTCATGTTGCAAGGCCTTTTAAGTCTAATAAAAAACTAAACTTCCCAATTAAGAAGTGATATCTAGATTATTTCCCTTTCTAACCCAATAACTGACCCCTAGAGACCCGCAATGTGGATTTTCCTACCCAATTACAAGATAGCACCCAAACCCAAGAAGAAGAAGGAAAAAGAAGAAAGAAGAAAGGAACTTGAGACACCACCCTGTACCCTCCATCTTGTACCCATCTACAGTATGCTAAAAATCCTAAAATCTAAATTTCTGACCCATGTGACATACTAAACTACTCTCTACAATCTATTTCACAGTTTTATGGTTTCTAGTTTACTTTGAAGCTTTGGAGGCTTTCTCCATGAATGAGGGTCAAAGTCAGTGCTTTCCTGAGAGTCAGAGTACCCCAGGTCAGACAGGGACATATTCCCCTTGCCCTGGGTTCCCACAGAAAAATTTCTTCACTCAAAGGTTTGTCCAGCCCTGGCTGGTCCTGCCCAGAGCAGTGGTGGGAGACTCCATTTTTGGAGGGATTTAAAAGCTATGTGGATGTGGAACCTAGGGACAGGGGCCAGTGGTGGCCTTGGCAGTGCTGGGGGGAACTTGATATTTTCCAACTTTGACATTCTGTGATTCTATTCTATGATTCTGCTATGCACTGAAGGGTAACAGCAAGTCAGGGGGCCTCAGCCTCAAGGTAAGTAATTCATCCTTCACAGCCCCTTTGCAAGTAAAGCACCTTTGGGGAGCTAAAATGATCCTTCTGACCCACATCCCTGAAATATTAAGGCCTCCAACTCCTGTTTAAACAATTTCTGTTTCAACATATATAAGCCAATTGCCATTGTCTATCTGTGCCTCTGAGAAGATGGAGAGTGAGGGCCCTAATTCATTGAGGTGTATTTGCTTTGAGAGTTGTACAGTTTCCTCACTCATTCCAGATCCAGAAAAAGCTCAGCTACTGGTAACAAAATGGGCCTTTCTACCTGAAGGCAGTTTTCCATGGCAAGACAAAGGGAAACTTCAGAAAGGTGCTAATTTGTGCCTAACAATTCACCTGTCATACAGTGAATGAGGGAGAGGGAAACAATCAAGAAATAATCAAGAATAATCTTTTCAATGCACAGTCCTGCTTCCTCGTGGGTAGCATCTTTCTTAGCAGGTGAATTATGCCCAGCTATGGCCAAATTCTGTGTCAATTCATTCTCACTTTGTGTCAAGAGTCAAAAGATTAGATAATTATCAACACCAGCATTCTTTATACTGTTTATATTTCATGTGCAGCTCAGAAAGCCAAACAGAACCTGCTGCAGTCCTGGAGGATCAGATAAAGGATGTTGCATTGTTGCATTTCCCCAGATTTGAGCACTTGACATGAAACTGGGAGTCTTGGGGAGAATTGTGCACATGAGACATCATCAATGAAAGCAGCTTAGGAAGTGTGTCAGGCAGTTCATTTGAGTTAGACTTTTGGATAAAATGTGACTCCCAGCAGATGTTTCCCAGTAGTTAGGGTTTTTTTAAAATAAAACTTTACTTTTTTATTTATGTTTTGTTTCTTTCTTTGTTTTTATTAACTCCCCCCCAGTGAATTACTTTTAATAGTATTTATTTATTTTATTTATATATGTATTTCTTTTCAGAACTGTACACAATGACACTCTTTGCTGGCACTGGGAGGGAGATAGTCCAGGCAAATACCCCAACATTTCTGCCCACTGTGTTTCTTATGAGTCTGGTATCACCTGGGTATCTGAGACAACACTGAAAAAAGAATGCTTGAAAAAGAAGGGTGATCTGAATAGTATTTATCTGATGTAAAGGAAAAAAAAAAAAAAGAAAAAAAAAAGAAAAAAAAAAAAGAAAAAAAAAAAAAAAAAAAGAAAACCTGCCAAAAAACCCAGTTTCAGTAATAAGATAAATTAGTTGTTAGCAAAGACAGTGTTTTGAACAATAATGGGGAAAAGCATAATATGCATGTTCTGACTGACTTACATGTCAAATTTCCAAATAACTGTTATTTGCTATTTGGTGATGGGAAGAATAAATTCTCTGGATAATGTAAAATGTAGAATTAATTCTGAATGATGTGTAAAATCTTTCTAAATGACTGGGACATAGCCTTCATCTTTTGTTGTTTTTCAGTTCTGTGTGTATGATTTCTTTATGGTACTGCCAAAATGTCCCTGTTGCTCAGCAACAGCAGGCTGAAATAGCACCAGGCAGAGGAAATCTGCTGATTTACACTGGACATAAATTGTGTTCTCTTGCTCGAGTGCATATTTTGACATAAGGGTAAAAGCAACTTCTGTTGGTTTGCCTCTCTGGGGCAGTTGTGGTCCCGGGTGGGGAATTCCCAGTTCAGACATTAAAATGCCCTTTTACACTACAGTTTAGTAAATCACAGAACCAGAGAATGGTTTGAGTTGTGTTTGGCACCTGAATGTCATCAGTCCAACTCCCTGCAATGGGCAGGGATATCTTCTACTGCACCAAGTGGCTCAGAGACCTGTCCAACTGGACCTTGACTTTTTCCAGGGATGGAGCATCTACTAAATCTCTGGGCAGTGAGCCAGTGTCTCACCACCCTACCCATTAAAAATTTCTTTTAATTTGGTCAGAATTGATCCACCTTTAGTTTAAAACCATGAACCCATTTCTCATCGCAACGGGCCCTGATTTAAAGTTTGTCCACATTTTTCTTAAAGAAATCTACAAGTACTGAGAAACCACAAAAAGATCTCCCTAGAGCCTTCTCTTCTCCAGTGAGCACCTCCAGCTCTCCCATCCTGGCTCCAGAGCAGAGGAACTCCAAATCCCAGGGCATCTCCATGGCCCTCTGTGCCTGCTCCCGGAATACTCTAGACAAAACATGGCCTCATCTAACCCCAATCTGGGGGTCTGTCCAGCATCTCCTCTAGGAATGAATCACTGCCTTGTCTTGAGGAGGCTTCTGTAGCTCTGACTGCAGCTCTGTTGACCCAGTGCTGTCCCTTGGGCTGATTGTGCCTCCTGTATAGAACCAGGCTTTGCATTTGCAGGTTTATGAAGGTTTGATGCCAAAGGACTGAGAGACCTGGAGCTGTTCATCCTGGAGAAGGCTCTGAGGAGGACTTAGAGCTCCTTTGAGTGCCTGAAATGGCTCCAGGAGAGCTGGAGGAGGATTTTGGCTAAGTCTTGGGTGGCAGGGGGAATGAGTGGAATTCCCAGATTCCCTCTGGGAATCTGTCCCAGAGGGCAGGGACAGATGGGCTATTGGGAAGGAATTGCTGGCTGGGAGGGTGGGCAGGCCCTGGCACAGGGTGCCCAGAGCAGCTGTGGCTGCCCCTGGATCCCTGGGAATGCCCAAGGCCAGGCTGGATGGGGCTTGAGAGCCTGGGACAGTGGAAGGTGTCCTGCCCATGGCAGGGGGGAATAGAACAAGGGCCCTTTAACCCAAACAATTTTGTGATTCTATTATTCTGTGATAAGCACAAAGAACAGATTTTAAAAGTTTCCTATGTATTCTACATACACTAATTTAGAAATTTTATTTTCTAGTGTCTTCTACACTACTTGTTTAAGAGGTAACCTACCTTTGGAAGAACTTAATGATAATAAAGAGAGAGAAACTTAAAGCAAACTCAAAAAAGTATGTATGTTTGTTTTAGAAATTAACTCCACAGAACATTATGTGGATATTTATTAAGTAAATCATGGAAATGCTACATTTTACAAGTGAGTATCAGTCATACAGAAATATTGTTCAACATCTGGAAACCTAAAACTTCACCAGAAGATACTGCCAACAGTTCATCACAAATGTTTTACAGTCAGGCCTTTGTGATGTTTGCAAAAATACCCGGTTTGGGTTTTTTTCCCCCCTTTCCAAACACCAAACTCATGCTTGATTTTATTTCATCTGCTACAAGGAATACAGGTTTTTATTTGCTTTTCCTGGTGTGCCGTTAATGCATGTAGGCTGTGTCAGCTGAAGAACTTGAGCACATGGAATATTTTCAGTGAAGATATGAGCTTCAACATGAGACAGAGTATGTCAGTGAGCCAGGCTGAAAGATTGAGGGACTGAGTCAATGCCTGTTGAGGTCACCCACACTGCTGAGTGCAAGGACAGCTTCCCTCTTCCCTGCCTGCACACCCAGGGAGCCTGGGCAGAGGTGGCACATGGCTGGTGTCCTGCAGAGCTCTGCTGGACTGCCAAAATGGAAGGGTCCTCAAATGTCCCGTTCCCACTGTGGGGCAGAGAGAAATGGCAGAGCAGCAGCTTCACAGAATCATGGAATTGATGCCACTGACCCATGTCCCATGTCCCCATGTGTCACACTCACAAGGCCTTTAAAACCCTCCAGGGATGGGGATGCCACTGCTGCCCCAAACAACCTGTTCCTAGGCTTGATAGCCATTTATGTGAGGAGATAATCCCAAATAATCCAATCCAATTGAAACCTCCCCTGGCACAATTTGAGGCCAGTTCCTCTCCTCCTGTCCCTGCTTCCTTGAAGCTGTCCCCTGGCTGTCCCCTCCTGTCAGGAGTCGTGCAGAGCCAGAAGGTCCCGTCTGAGCCTCCTGAGCTTCAGCAGCAGGCTGGGACAGTGCAACATTTTGCTGTTTGATATTCCTGGGATGAGTGGAGGGAGAGAAGTCCAGAAGATCAGTTCAATTTAGTTCTATTTTTGTGCATTGACTGAACAGAGCCATTTTATTGTATAGGAAAGGGACAGCAATGACTTTCTTGATGTCCCCTCCTTTGCTAACCCATCACCAGATTCGAATATTAAAAGAAATAATGAGATTAACACAAAAATCACAAAAATCAAGTCTGTCTTATGTTTGTTGATTGCTAATGAACATCTCTCTCCATGGGGTTTGGGAGGTGCTCCAGGTAGAATTCTTCACAACTTATTTTCTATTTGGCAAGGAGTGCTCTTTATTCAATTTTATGCTACAATGAAACTCTCTAACATGCCTCGTCTTGCTGTTATAAGATGTTTAGCCGTTAATTTAAAGTTCTCTTATATGCTGAAAGATGCTCTTTATTTCTTTACGTGTGATTTCGGCATCTTCAATTTCATAGAGATTTTTCTTTTCAGCTTACAAGTCATTTTCCCATTGCTTATAATTCAAGTGTTGTTTCAGACATGTGTGCTTTAAAATCATACCAGGTTGATCTTGGGAAAGGTCCTTCCAGCACAGCCCAGTCCTACCTAATAGAAATCTTGTTAATAGAACAAGCACGTGTGGTGGGAAAAGTCTGTCCACGCAGAGGGTGGTAGTGTTGGACATTGTAGCACACAAATCATGGTCTGTTGGGCAAACACCTCATGCTCTTGCCTTAAAATCTGCTGAGTTTCTCTCTTCTTGGGTCTATGCCTCACAGCAAGACCTCTCATGTTTCTTCATCATCAGATAATAAGCTCGGTTGGCTTCTGGGTAGGTGACTTTGGAGAGTGGCAGCCTGCAGATCGCAGAGTGGCTTGTGGTCATCAGCAGGAAGGTCAGTGCAGACAAGCAAAAAGGCCAGGTTCCAGATGGCACCCCAAACTGCAAAGAATAATAACAAACCACCTATTTACTACATGTCTTTCTTTTATTAGAGTAACACGCAGAGCCAGCCACCTTGCAACAATGTTTCTGGAAGAAGTCTAGACTTGGTTTTGCATTGAGTCTTTCCTGACTGAGGCTGGGTTTCTTTATGATGTCTTGACATTGTGCATCAGCCTACAACATCTACCAGCTCTGGTGACAGATTTACCTCATCTGTCGTGGGGAAGGTTTCTTGGACATGAGTTAGGAGTGGGTGACAATGATACAGCAGAGCAGATACCAGAAACATTAATCTCTTCCCTGGGCTGTGGTACTGACTGACTTCTGGCAACTGAGAAAAGAAATTAACCTGAATCTAATGTTTCTTTGCACACATGCAGGGCCCTTTTCCCAATTGCTTCAGGCATGAAGTAAATATCTGAAAGAGGGGAGATGTTCTAGCAGCCTGCTAGTGCCTAAAACAGGTCCAGGAGAGCTGGGGAAGCACTTTGGGCAAGGGCCTAGACAGAATAAAGGGGAATGGCTTTTCCCCTTAGGGTTAGATTGGATATGGGCAAGAAATTCTTCCCTGTGAGGGTGGTGAGGCCCTGGCAACCCAGGTTGCCCAGAGAAGCTGTGGCTGCCCCATTCCTGGAAGTGTTCAAAAATAGGTGGGGCTTGGAGCAACCTGGGACAGTGGAAGGTGCCCCTGTCCATGGCAGGGGGTGGAACTCAATGAGTTTTAAGGTACGTTTCAACACAAACCATTCCATAATTCTGTGATCTCGTAAGTGTCTAGAGCTGAGCTGTGGAAGTTCAATCAAACTGAGGATGGAAAGTGGCAAGTGATGATTCTAGGTCACCTATTCTAGTGGGAATCACACCAACCGCCTGGGCAGAGAGTAATCCCTTTCCCAGACCCTTTCTGCCTTTGGCTGAATTTTTCTCCACATCTTGGTGTTTTGCCTGACAAGCCAGAGAAATTCAGCATTGGAAATCAGCCCTTAGTTGATAAACTACTTACCACAGACAACATGTGGGTCATTGCTGCTCCCAGGTAGGCACTGAAGAGTGCTGTGGAAAAGGAAGACAGTTCCTGGTGAGTTCAATTGCTCGTGGAGTAGAACAGCAATGACAAACATCTCTCCTTCTGGCTTGGATAACTCAACCAATGATTATGAACCTGTCTGGGGAGGACCCTGCTGAACCCCTTACCTGTGTCCCCTCCAACCTGGAGCTTATGGGAGGGCAAAACAAACAAACAAACCAACCAACCAACCAAACTGGAGTGATAAAAAATGTGGTGTGGCATCACAGGCTTTTGAAAAATGCACTGACATAGAAAGTAAGTAGCTTGATGGATAGGGTTAAATAAGAAAATAACCTCCCCACTCTCATCTGTCCTGCCTTCAGGGCTTGAAGGTGACATACAGAGCTGTATGAACACTGAATGAGCAATAGTTTCACTCCCAGCTTGCTCTGATATTGAAATTTCATATGGAATTGCCTTATAAATAATTCTTCAACCCTGCTGTGTTGCCCAGCTCATGCCTTTAATCCATTTCAGGAGAATGGGGAATGTGTACTGTCTGACTAGAGTAGAGGTCCACTCTTCCCAAAGATTAGGCATGTCCTTCTTCAAAGAAGGAATTTGAGCTGGTATCTATGGCTGGAAAAAAAACCCCATGATTCATCCAGCGATGAGCGAACAAACACAATATCTCGAAACAAAGTATTTGATTTCAAAAACCTCAGTTAACTCGTGTGTCTGCTGATCACAGCTCTTTCTCTAAACACAACTCTTGGCCAAAAATGAAAGCACAGAGTGAGTTAAAGTGTGGCTTCGACACACAGCTCTACCACCCGTCAACCTCACCTACACCCATCTGCCTGCCCCGAGTGCCCATCTGTCTCCAGTCCTCCTCTGCTGCAAAGGCATCCTGTCTCACCTCTAGGGGAGGTGAAAACCCACCAGGTACCTACCGCAGGCCATGGCCAGGAGGTGTGTCTGCCAGGTGAGAGCCAAGAACATGCCCCCAATGGCAGCGCAGGACAGGGAGCTGTTGTAGCCCCACAGCCCCGAGTAGATTTGGTTAAATGGCATTGCTAAGCTCAGCCCTGGAAAATAAAGTCAGAGAAATGTGTCATTCCTTGGCCAAAGAGATAAAAGTGGTGGAGAAGTGGCACAAATTCAGTTTTTCAAAGGTTCTAGCCAGCATTTGTACATGGAGCTGTTTGTAGTCATGTTGCTAGGGTCTAAGTGTCTAAGGGAGTCGTGGCAGAATTTTCCTGTTGCTGCTGAGCTGACTTTGGCAATTTGGTTCCAACAGAACACATATGGGTGAATGAACCTACATGTGAACCTTAAATGAATCCCTGAGGCCTGCACTTTCAGGCTGATGGCTGTGACTTCCATTGATCTGCCCCTAAACCCACCAGGATACACCCAAAAATTAAGTATTTTGTGGTAAAAATTATCTCAGCACAACAGACACTTGTTTCTTCTGAAGGATTCCACCGTCATAAAACAAGGTAAGAGAATGGAGAAGCCAATTAAAAAAAATCTTAAAACAGAAGTTCAAGTAGATTTTGTTTCCAAGCAGCCATTCTCCATTGTGTGAAATACTTGTGGCTTTAATTGCTCCACTTATTGTAGTACCTGTTTTATTCTCCATGCTTTTATATAACTCTGTGGCACAAATCATTACCTGCCAGCATCCCCACTGCTGAGCCGATCACTGTGTGGACACAAATAAGTGGAGAGGAGATAAATAACCCAATCAGGAAAATTCCGCCAGTCCAGGGATTGTCACAACCATAAACCTGGCCCACGCCGACTGGAATGGATTGCAGAAGCTGTAGAAATTAACAAACCAAACAAGACAATTTGTTATCAACTTGTAACTTTTTGTTTGTTTGTTTTTAAACCTATTTTTCTGGGCCAGGCTCATGTTTGGCATTTGTTGGATGCAGTCTTTCTTTTTAAGTGGAACATTTGGACAGGTCTCAGGAGACAGCAGGGCATTTCCACAGGGTTTTCCCTTCAATGAAAATGAGTCATGGCTTGTTCCCTTGCCCTGAGCTCCTCTGCCAAGTTTTTGCTCTAAGATCAAAGGTAGAGATTTTGAGAAAGGGTTTAATCATCCTTCCTCTTTGCATGTGCTGCTGACTGGACCATTTTTGCATATCCACAGGGACCATGAGAGTGAACTTAGGGGATGGTTGGGATCCACTAGAAATATGAGCAACACTTGCTGGGCTGGTGGGACAGAGCCCAGCCTGATCACCACAGCTTAGAGATGGTTTTGAGGCAGTTTTCTGTATACAGTCTCCATAAAAGTATGTGCCACCAGTGAGAAATGTCACTTGTGGGTTTTTATTTAGTGTCAATTAACTTCCTTTTCTTAATCACTCCCTGGGAATCCCTTAAAATACTTTGCTGAGCCTTAGCAGAAAATAGTTACTCTGGTGTCTGTATTGTTTATGGTGTAATCCAGAAGAATAAAATGTTCCTTTGGAAAGGTCCCCACTTGAATATAAATTAAAAATATGTGAATGTGTACCTGCACCTAACTTTTTAACCATTCTAACACAGTAATATCTGCTTGCTCATGTCTAATCAGAAAGATGTAATTTTATAAACAGTTTATATCTGAAAAAATAAAATTACCCTGTGAGTTAACTGGAATTCTCAGCACAACCTTACCTATGGGGGGATGATCAGTATAGTAAATAGAAATGGGTAATTGGATTCAAGAGAGTATTTGAAGATTATAATCTATAACTTGGATCCAACTGCACGTGAAAAGGTTCTCATTTTCAAGCTATCAAAAATGTATATTCCTAGAGTAAACCCTTATATTTTGGATAATAATTCTCTTATAAATCAAATTTTGTACTGCCAGACCATAATACAGTAACAAAGGAGGTGAACCTGTTGGAGCCAGTCTGGAGGAGGCCAGGGCTGGAGCCCCTCTGCTCTGGAGCCAGCCTGGCAGAGCTGGGGCTGTTCACCTGCACAAGAGAAGGCTCCAGGGAGAGCTCAGAGCCCCTGACAGGGCCTGAAGGGGCTCCAGGAGAGCTGCAGAGGGACTGGGGACAAGGCAGGGAGGGACAGGACACAGGGAATGGCTTCCACTGCCAGAGGGCAGGGACAGATGGGATATTGGGAAGGAATTGCTGGCTGGGAGGGCAGGCCCTGGCACAGGGTGCCCAGAGCAGCTGTGGATGCCCCTGGATCCCTGGGAGTGCCCAAGGCCAGGTTGGATGGGGCCTGAGCACCCTGGGATAATGGAAGGTGTCCCTGTCTATTGCAGGGGAGGGGACTAGATGGTCATTTAAGGTGTCATCCAACCCAATCCACAGGAATTTATAAAGGAAGATGATAAGTTTCTGTAGTATTTTTAATTGTAAGTGAAGGGGACTATCACCCTTAAGACATCCTACCATTGTCATTTCCACCTCTGCCCAGGTGACATTCGGTGTTGCTGTTGCAGGATGAATGACAGTTGTAGGGAAGAAGAGGCTGTGTGGTCCTGAAGCAGCCAGGTAGAGGGTCAAGGCCAAGTTGAAAGGCAAGGTGAGAACAGGCAGGTCCCACTTAGAGAAAACTGCACTTAAGGCACTGGTAAAAATAGGGCTGAAAGAAGAACAAAATGGTCTCACTAAAAGCTTTTCAGATGGGCAAAAATCACACCAGAACCACATCCAACTATAAACCCAGCTGCAGAAAATTTGGTCTATTTAAAACAAACAAAAAACCCCAAACCAAACAAAAAGAAAAACACCCTCTTCTCCTCTTTCTATCTATTTAGTTTCCTCAGTCTTTCTGATCAAATCAGAGACAGAAAGAGTCACTCCATAAATTTCCTACCCCTCCAAAGGCAATTATCAATGTACAGATAGATTCCTGTCATGTTATGTTAGTATGTATGGTGAATTTGGTAAATGTGAAGGAGGCAGGATCTAGTGTTTTAATGGAGTTATTCCCCAGCTCAATCTCAGTGTTTACTTTTTCTTTTTAGCACCTGAGGTGGACTGAGACTGTGATACCCATGCTGGGTCTGAGTGAACTGTGAGCTGTGAATGTGGCTGTGTGCCCTTGCTCAAGCTTGTGGATCAGCAGTAAAAGCTGACATTAAAGTGACTGTAACACCACACGAAATTCAGGCAGACAAATTACATGTATGGTTTTAGCAGTCTGCAACTAGACATTTTGGGGTCAAAGACCAGGTTTCAACATTTTTTGCTGGCCAAATACCTAGCGGATTATGGTGTCATATATATGAGTAAAATATTGCTAGTTGTTTGTTTTGATTAGTGTCAACCATCATGTCTTGGGACCACTGAATAGCTTCTGTACTTGGGGAAGTAAATTTTCATGACATTTTTATATGGTGACTTAAATAGATGAAGCACTTGTGGTTGATGATGGTAGGAAATAGTGAAAATAATTTTCCTCTTGAAACAGAAATGAATTGATGCATCACAGCAATATGACTCACATTCAGAACATTGAAATACACATGATCAGCCACTGATTTTTGTTTTCCCCACTGGGATTACTTGTGATTATGTGGGTATTTTTATTTGTTTCTGGATTTCATCTGAGTTTAAAAGTGTAAATCACAACGCAGATCTAACGGTACATATGCTGTGTTCACTTTCCACTGCCGGCTGCATAGAAAAGCAACAGCTCAGTCACATGTGTGGGGACTCTGGGGCTGGAAGGAGAAGCAGAGGAGCCATCTGTCTTACCAGGTCATGGACACCAGTGCCACGGGCAGGAGGAGCCACCAGTTGTAGTCTCCATCAGCAGAGAAGACAGCCATCAGCAGTCCCACCAAGACCCCATTGTATCCATACAGGCCTGCTGCTATGGCTGATCTGTGTGGAGGGAACAGCTGTCCTGAAGTCTCCTCCCCTGAGGATGCTTTGTTCACATCAGCCCTCCCTCCCCACCCAGCTGTGGCTCTGTTTGGGGGATGACTTGCTGGCACTCATCCACCGAAATTTGATTTCACACACTTGGGTCAGCACCTACCCCTTCTGCAGGTTTGTCCAGTGTCCCTCTGCACCAGGTGCAGCTGCTGGGAGGATCTGTCTGGTCCTACTAGACCAGATACATCCCCATTCAAGGCTGGATCACACAACCATAGAAGGTTTGGGTTGGAAAGAACCTTAGAGACCACCTTGTTCCAACCCTATGCCATGGGCAGGGACACCTCCCACTAAATTCAGGCTTCTCATCCACATCTAATACCTAACACATAAGTCAGCACTGAAGTGTCACCTTACCCTGAGCGGGAAAAGGATGGACTTACCTGTCCTGACCCAGAATAAGTGCTGTTAAAGTTGAGACAACTGTTCCCACACATCCCGTGAGTGTCCACCACGGGTTCTGCAGCAGGAGACCGGCCAGAATGACCAGCCCACTGAGGGGATTGTTGACAAACATCACCTGGGATATCCCACGCAGCACCCAGTCAAGGAGCTGGACCGTGAGAGGTTTGTCTGGAAAAGATCAAATTCAGTAATAAAACAAGCCCCCTAAAGTCTGTAGATGGTACTGATTTGGGATGTATTTTTGAAACTCAGGAAAAGTTTTGGCAGTGGGACTTGGCACCACGACTGAAGCAATGAATCAACAAGACTGTAAAATCTGACAGGGATTTATTATGGTCCACAGTGAAGGCTTACAGCTGGAAAACTGAGATGAACAGTGAGGTTGCCAGAACCCTGTGTTATAAAGTACCCTGGACCAGATTCATATGAACCAGCTAATTTATGATGTCTGTGGCTCAGATGACGAATTACGTGTGTGTCCCACTGCTGATTTATTACAGGGACCAAACACACCTACCGATGTGTAGTTTAACTTCACAGTGGCATTAGGCTTGACAGAAACTGCTCAGCTGAAAGGACTTGAAGTATTAAGAAGGATGGCAGAGTACAGAATAACCATCCAGGGCTATGTTCTATGGGACCAAATGTGCTTTGTACATGGCATGCTGGGAGGTGAATGTCATCTCAGACACCCTCAAGATTTAAGCACTATGTCGATCTTTGCACAAAGGTGATTTTTTCCCCCCTACAAAACAGGCATAAATCAGGGTAGAGGTAGTTTCCATACTCCTCTAACTTGAATCACATCACTAAGAAGATAGTTATTACTCCTTTGATGTGCTTTTTTTTGTAATCCACTGTCACTAGTTACAATGAAGTAGATTTACCTTTCAGCCAGGTTCCAAAATCCTTCATGTCTCCAGTGAGGTAACCCACAGCTCTGCAGAAACTTTTCCCACCTGTGCTCAGTGGATTTTGCTTCATTGGCATTCTTTCCCCCTTCGTTTCTATATTGACATCAACACAGTTTTCCATATTGATGTTCTGAACCTTTGATAAAATTCAAGGGAAAAGAAAAAAAAAAGAGAACTCATTACAATGTCTCTTTCTGATCCATGTTTATTGTCTTTACCACATGTTACTTTGGAACCAGAAAGAGGAAAATCCTTACTCTGAACACCTGGTTCTTTTGTGTCCATGAGCACATTCCCTCTTCACATTCCCTATCCTCCCAGACTTCCACACAGTTATAAGAATACGTCTCTTTCATTAAGCTTCTCTGTGTTTAACCCATATTTCTAGTTTGAATTAATCCATCAGCCATCACTAATAGGCACCAAAATTCAGTTTTATAGTCACCTATTGGGATCAGTTCAACCTTTCTCATGGGCAAGGGCTTAGCCTGGGGTTGTCCATGGTGCCTTATTCTATTACTCACATGCATTCATACATTCCTTTTTCTCATTTGAACTGCACTTTAAGCAGACCAATCTTTAGAAGTACCCAGCATTGATTCAAGAGTGTGATACCCAAATCCACAGTTCTTACTTTCCACTCTGCCTTAGTCATGTTGCTTTCTTTTCTGCTGAGGCAATACTGGGGACTGCATGTTGTAAGCTGTAGTAAGAAACCCTTGGAGACTAATGAAAATATACTTATTAAATTTACCAGGTGCTATAAAAAGTTTAAATAAGGTAGGGGACTGTTATAGGCCCAGCAAAGGTGTTTAGGCCTAAATAAGGTGTTTGGGGTGCAGGACTGGGAGATGGGGTCCCTTTTGGGACACATCCCCTTTGCATAAGGTGTTGCTGGAATTACCTTTGGCACCTCATACAGCCTAGACAGCATTATTCAGGCACATGGATCAGAGGCTTACACATAAAACCAGTGCCTATAGGCAATTCATTGTTTGTCTAAGAGCTAATTCTGAATATGAAGTCACTAAATAAATAAAAACCCCTGTTTCTGGAGCATACTCTGTTTCCTGAACTAATTATTGGTAATTATCAAGCAAACATCAGACAAAGTGTGTTGTGTGAATGCAGAACCAGTGGTGCTTCAGGTCTCACTGGTGAATGCCAGCTTGTGCAAGAAATGATGAATTTATATTGGGAGCTGGTAATCTAAATAGGATGATACAGACACATAGGTCTTGTGTTCATCCTTGACTCACTCAAAACTTTATTAAAGGCCTTGTGAACAGAATGGGGAGAGAACCCATAGCTCAGAAAAACAGGTGCTGAGTACTTAAGCTGCTTCACCCCTTGGCATTGCACTTCCAGACCCTCCAGTGTGGTTAAGCAGCTCTGAGTCTGTGTAGGGGAAAGCCTGGTTAATGCACCATTGGTTAATCCTGGCCAGTTTCTTACTCTGTGGTACTGGAGGGCTGGTGGTGACATTTCAGGAAGCAGTAAATATTTGCACAAATAATAAATGGACATTTTTCTGCCTTCTGGAAGAGCCCAGCTAATAAAAGGATAGGTTCCATGTGAGAATATGGTTACAGGACCAGTATATAGAGAAAAGTATTGAGTTTGGTTTTGTGTGCATGTAGATAAGGGCCTGGAATAAAAAGGCTAAGGAAGAAGAGGAGGAAAAGAGTGGTGCTAGGGATGGTGTCTTGATACAGGAAGGCTTTTTTTGGGTCTGTTATAATTCACTACATTAATTCATTAGGTTTTACTTTTTTCACACTTTATTCTGGAATAAGTGAACTGAATGTACTTTCAGTTAAATCAAAATTTCCAGCCAAGATAAATACTCTCAGTTTGGTGAAAGTGCATTTACATTTTCCTTTTAAAGGATCTCCCTCTTTATGCAACTTGAGCTTTCCTTGTTGCTAACCTGTAAGGTGAAGTGCTGCTGCAGTGCAGAACGATGCTGTGAGACATGCTGGGTGTTCCCCTGCAAGCTGAGTGAGGAGCTGTTTGCACACAGGAGTCAGGAGTCTGCAGAAAGGGGTGCAATGCGCATGTGAAGTGCTGGAGTCACTGTCCAGTCCACTTGTACAGTGGAGATAAAAAGGGATGAGGCTGAGAGCCTGAATTCACCAAAAAACTGATGTATTTCTTTGCCGTATAAACGCATGTGTGAGCTGGCAGTGCTCCTCTGCCCTGGGTTTCCACATTTCCTGGCAGAAATGAAGCCAGCTCACTGCAGCTGGCATGGCAAAAAGACCAGGTGACCTGTTGAGTCACTTGCACTAACCTGTCTCCAGCTTCACACCCAGTGGATGCCCAGCACATTCTGGAGCATTCAGAGTCACAGAGGCTGCGGGGTGATTGCGGTTACCTCCCATCCTGCTGCTGCTGAAACTCATGTTCATTGTGTCACAGAATCATAGAATACTTTGTGCTGGAAGGGACCTTTAGAGTTCATCTATTCCAACCCCTCAGGCACTCCCGTTTGATCTAGGGATGGGTCTCTCTAGAGGGACCGCAGGAACTTCAGCCATTCAGTAGAGCATCAGGTGAGTGACAGAACAAGGGGCAGAGGCTTCAAACTGAGAGAGGGCAGGGCTAGATTAGACATTAGGAAGAAGTTGTTCCATGTCAGGATGGAGAGGCCCTGTCAGAGATTGCCCAGAGAAGCTGTGGTTGAACCATCCCTGGAAATGCTCAAGGCCAGGCTGGACAGGTCTTGGAGAAACATGGGCTAGTGGAAAGTGTCCCTGCCTGTGGCACGGAGTGGGACTGGATGAGCTTTAAAGAGCCGTTCCAACCCCAAATATTCTGGGATTATTTATGCTAAGACAGAGTGAAACCATTATTGAACAGCCTCCTCACCTTCAGAGCAGCCAGGCTGGAGGTGGGTGTAGGCCAAGAAGACCTTTGGTTTAGGATGGGGTCTTCATGAGACAGAAAAAGCCCAGATCCAGCCCGACTGGTTTCATGACTTCCCTGAATCCCATCCCACGCACTGTGTGGGGGCTGTGTCCTGTCTAAGGGGATTTTGCTGTCATCACAGCCCTGGGGCTTGTCTCATCTATTCAGAAATACCAAGTATGAAGGACTTGCACTACTTCTACTCAGTTGTCCAATAAGAGCATAAAGAGGTAGTGAAACACTTGGAAACTGGCACCAGCATAAAATTTTTAGGCATTTTTAGTGATGTTACAAAGCAGTACCTACCATACATATGCATAGATTAATAGTTTGTTAACACATTACTTCAGGAAGTAGGGGACAGCAGGTATTTAAGAAAAGAGAGAATACAAAAGGTGTCTTATCTCAGAATTGTGGATATGCTCAGAGAATTTTAGCACAGTGATGTCTGAATAATAATGCAGAACTGAACTGTACATGCTCTGATGGGGATCTCATGTGTGCTGGTCTGCAGCAGCTCTTTTGAAGACCTGCAGCTGAAGTTATGCAAACACATGGTTTTCACTGAAAGCATTATTTTTCTTAGTGCACAAAGCAAGGAAATGGAAATAATTGCAAAAGGCGTGTTCTGCTGGAAGAGACTACTTGGCTTCTACAGAGGGGTAGGTTTGGGTTTGGTAATTTTTTTTTTTAACTCTTGATTTCTATTAGACTGGGAAAAAAGTTTTTGTAAAGACTAAGTCCTGTTATCAGACAGCTTGGAGCACACTGCCTTGTCTCACATAAACTCTCAAGAGGTGTTCCAGCCCTGCAGTACAAACTCTCAGTGCTGGTGTGCAACTGGTGAGATACAGGAGCAGCAGCAGAACCCAGGCACAGCCAGTCTGAATGCACTTTTCATCTCAGTGCTGCAAGTGCAAGTGGTTTGTAGTGTGCTGTAAGTGCAGAAAAACTACTGGAAACCATTTTCATGGGAAGTGAGAGCTTCCCATGAAACAAAGCAGAAAACACAGAGATGTTTCTCTTTCATGAAGATGAAATCATCACAGGGTCGAGATGTTAATCTACCGTGTTTTTTTAATCATCCTTTCAGAGTTAATAAATGTCCTGTAGCAATGTACTGACGTTATGCAATCCCGTGTCTCCCTAAATCAATTTTCCTTCCCCTTGTGTACACTTCCTTCCTGTTACACCATACCCACGGCACCAGTTAAGGCTGGCCCTGTGCTGGGGCTGCACTCCTGCAGCATCTGGCCCGGCAAATGCTCCTTTATTCGCCTGCTGAGGAGGAGACAAGCCTGGCCACAGGTTGGTTTTGTGTCGTGCATCCTAAGAGCAGTGTTGTGCTTGCAGCTGGGAGAGGGACACAGTCTTTAGTTTGGCTGATTAATACTCCAGGTAATGGGCACCTCTAAGCTTGGACATGGGACTTTTACCTGTTATCTAGTTATCTAGTGCTTTCTCTTCTTTCTGTAATTTTCTTTTCTCCCTGCCAAAATCCAGGTTTCTCTGAGGGTTTAATTTATGATGAGGTATTTTTTTTGTGCAAGGAACCAAGGACCTGCTACCGCACAATTGCAGCCATTGTGCATTACATTCTCTGAATTCTTGCTGTGAAGTCTGCAGGCAGCCAAGCTCGATGACCAGCTTGTTTTTAGAGGAATTCCTGCATCCAAGCACAATAGGAGAAAAGGACCAGATTCTCAGCAGCTCTAATTCCAGCACAGCCCCTGTAATGTTACCAGGGGTGTAGTAAAGCTGGATTAATGTTGTGTTAGGCATAGGAACACACACATGCACAAGCACGATCCTTGAAACAGGTTATAATGCATTTGACCGTCACTGGAAGAAAACAATACAGGTTCTCCCATAGAAGATATATTTCAAAGTATTAAAAAGCTTAACCCTCAGATTCAAATATTCATTAAGCTCACGTGCAATTCAGTGTTCAGAGACCTGTCTCTCAGGGACAGAGGAATACAGAGACACTATCTCCTCAGCTGTGTATTATTACTATCTGGGCATTTTCATTTGGCAGAATGGAAAGGTAGTAAAAGGAAATGTTAAAGAGTTCTGGTTATTTCTTTTTAAAATTTATTTCTTTCCTCTATTTCCTCCAAGGCTCAGACACCTGGGCTAAGCAGTACTAACAAATCCTCACCCTTCTAGAAGATTCTTATAACTGTGATTCCTGTGCTCCTCCTGAGCCTCAGCCTCTCTCCTTCAGCAGGACTGCTCAAATGCTGTTTGCCAGGTGTTTTGAGGGAGAGGAAAGACCCAGGTAAGTCAGTAACAGGGTGCATTAAAAGGAAAGAACAGAGTGCTCTTACCTCACAGATGAGCTCGGGAGTAGCTGTAGGTTTGCTGGTGAGGTCAGAAGGAAAGTAGAGAAAAAGAAATTGCCCCAGCAGCTTATATAGGCTAGCATGGCTCCTGTCCTGATATTACTGATTTGTTTCTCCTCCCACTTAGTGAGCTCCAAGTGAATATTAAGAAAGTTCCCTTTGGAATTCTCCACCTTTCCTCTTGCTCTGTCCCGGGTCTCTTGCCAACAATCTATCCAAATATCCTCTTTCCTGCTGGTTTTTTTTTTTTTTTTTAAATTATTTTATTTTTACTTTTTCCTTATTAAAAAAAAAAAAAATTAATTCTCCTTTAACTTTGCCCTTTCTCCTTCTCTACCATTTAAAAGAACAGAAGATTTTAAAATGGACTCTCAGTTACCTGAACTTGACCTCTCCAGAATTATCTTCCTTATCCAATACAACTTAGCATCCTTCCCTATCAAAATTCTGACCTGGGAATGTGTAACATAGCATTTTGTGTTCAGCAGCCTATGAAATTTTCCTGTTTCTGGATAATTTACAAAAGCACTATTCTGTTAATGAAATGCAGTGCAAGACCTGGTGACCTTCCAATGTTTCATAGCTTTTTATCACTCATATGAGAAATCAAAGAGATACTTTTCTTTATTTTCTTTTTTTTTTAAGAAATATTTTTAATCTATCCTCCCCATCTCACTGCTGAAAATCAGAAATGTGGCATATAGGGGGTTTATAAAGCTGTGAAAGTGCTGCAAATGACAGAGAAGAGGCTGGAGAGGGAAGCCTTGAATAGTAATTCAGGAGAAAGGGCAGAGAAGAGGATTGTGAACTTAAGGGACCTTGTAGGCTAATTTAAGCCATAGTAGAATTGTCTTTAGTACCCTTTCACAGTGATGGCTGAGAGAGCAACCTTGCAAATTGATCTGGGTGCTGGAGAGAATGGTTTATTGTTAAACCAGAACCCATCTAGCTTTATGACTTTACTTCCCCCAGCCCTGTGGCAGCAGCCTCAGCATGCACATGAGTTGGAGGGATGTTATTCTCACTGCACTCTCTCAGGTGCATCTCTTTTGATGGAGATGTTTTAAACAGCAGGCTGGATTTTTTTCCTCCCCTAAGAGGAGGGCATCTGAGCTAGTCTTCCTCTGATCAAATAGGCTGCAGCCTTTGTGATTGAGCCAGACACTGTCATCCTATGCCTTTGCACCCAATAGAACATAAAAGTTTGCAGGGGAAGCTACTTCACTCTAGTGCAGCTAACATATTTTCCCTTCACCATTAATTTTTCCTCTGGCTGCCTTTGCTTTCTGACTGGTGAAATAAATCCTTGTATGTCCAAAGAAGAGAAATGCATTGGATGATTTGGATGGGAGAGCCTCACAGGGAGTCTGTTCAGACTGAGTTTTGATCTTCACACCTCTCATTTTTCAGGGATGCCCAGGACTGGCTTCAAGTTTTTTCAAGCAACATCTTTTCAGCTCTCCCTCAAAGGGGTGCAGCACATGGAGCAGGCAGGGCTCACTCCTGGGTTGTGCTGTAGGGTATTTTTTCCTCTAGGGAATCACAGATTCACAGAATATTCTGAGTTGGAAAGGACCCACAAGAATCATCGGGTCCAACTCTTAAGTAAATGGCCCATACAGGGAATGAACTCACAACCTTGGTGATATTAGAACCATGCTCTGACCAATTGAGTTAATGTCAGGGTCACAGAATCCCAGAATATTTTGGGTTGGAACAGACTTTAGAGTCCATCTCGTTTCACCCTCTTGTGCAGGGACACCTTCCACTGTCCCAGGTTGCTCCAAGCCCTGCCCAACCCAGCCTGGAACACTTCCAGGGATGGGGCAGCCACAGGCAGGGACTGTGCCAAGGGCTCCCCACCCTCACAGGGAACAATCTCCTCATAACATCTAATCTCAACTGCTCTCTCTCAGCATGAAGCCAGTCCCACCTGTCCTGTCACCACATGTCCTTGTACAAAGGAACCAGATTCAGCACTGCTCTGTCTGATTCTGGTGCCTTAATGAGGTATTTGACAGGTTGGAGTGACACACAAAAAAGCCAGTGGCTGGTGGGTCAGTGATGGATATCTTGGAGTGGTGCATTGTTTGGATTATCAGAGCTGGTTAATAAGTAACAGGATCACCACCTGCTGATGCCCGTGTGGGAATGAGGTCCCTGGCAGCAGCCTGCTCTGGGATGGAGACAGAGCAGGGAAGACCTCCAGTGCCATGTGACAGATCACTGGATCCCGGGTGCAGCCAGCTATTGGAGAGGTGGATGCAGGAATGCCTGCCTGCAGCTGTGTGCCCAAGGTAAAGTCCTCGTGGGTGCCTGAGGACTGAGGTTCCCCCTGAATAGGATTGGTGTAGAAAGGTGGGAATGATAGAAAACCTCCCAGGTGTAACTCAATGCCAGTTCTGGTGCCCAGCACTAACTTCCAGGCTGGTCACTCAATGTAGGTATCTTTTGGGGTTCAAGGTGGGAAAACTGAACATGCAATGGCCATCCCTAGGCAAAAGGATTGAGATGTGCCACGGGTTTGTCATGTAGCTGTCACCACCTGCCTGGGAGTGGGCCACCAGTGGGTGACCAGGTAACTGCGCAAATTGATCATGCAGGTAACACAGGGGACTAGAGTTGCCTCTTGATTTTAGGCATGTGTGAAAAAGCATCACTTGGTGCTGAGGACAAGGCAGCTGGTGCTGGTGTCTGACAGCTAAGCTCTGTGTCATTTAGGATGTCTAAATCTGTGACTTACCTCATCAGCTTTTCGTTGTTGAAAATGCTTGTTGTTTCTTCTTCTGTGCTGCCTGGGAGGGTGTCTCTGAGAAGATCCCTTGGACAAAGCCCAGTGCTTGACGCAGTCAGAACAGGGGTTGGTCACTGGATCTCAACCAGACACAGCACCAGAAAAATGCTGAATGATCCCTGACTGGCTTAGCTCGCCCAGCAGGAGCTCTCCGGCTGCATCAGCTGGGTACAAAGTTTGAACTGGTCAGCTGTGCCAGGAAAGATTCTAATGGCCCTAATTCAGCTTCACACACTTTGGCTTCACTCCTTTCTCAAGCCTAAGTGGCCTTGAAGAGGTGCATTAAAACCACTTGGTAGCAGATTGGCTTTTACTGCTGTTTTTGGCTGTGCTCCTTGACTCGGGTTTTACTGATGGGAATAGGTCTGCTGGGGGAGCAGCATCAGCTCTTGGACTCCAACAAGTGCTTTAAAATTGTGTAAATCCATGTATGGAGCTTTGCAGGTTGCTAAACCCCAAGTCCTGGTCTGCTTTTGCTAGAATGGGGTGTGGATATGTGATATGTGACCAGTGTTTGTGAGAGAAAGGGGGGGGATCCCTTCCTGGAAATGCTGACAGCATTCCTCCTAATGCAGCCCACAGAGATGTTGGCTTTCTTGCTGCAAGGATACGTTGCTCTACTGTGGTCACTTGGTGACCACCAGGACCTTCCAGGCCTCTTCTGCCACACTGCTTTCCAGCTGGAGGGCCACCAGCATGTAGGGATGGAATTGTTCCTCCCCAGGTGCAGGACTCTGCACTTCTTCTGGAACTTCAAGGGGTTCTTGTCAGTCCATTTTTTCCATCCTGCTGAGGACACTCTGGATGCCAACACAACCCTCTGGTATATCCAACACTACTTCCAGTTTTGTGCCGTCCCCAAATTTGCTGAGGGTGCACCCTGCTCCAACATTCGGGTCATTAATGAAGAAGTTAAACTTATTATGCTGGGCTAACACCACTAATGACTGGCCTCTACATGTGATTTGTGCCACTGATTATAACGCTTTGAGCCCAACCATTCAGCCAATTTTAAATCCAATTTGCTTCACATTTATTTAACCCATACTTCATTAACTTGCCTGTGAAGATGTTATGGGACAGAGTGTTGAAATGAGATGATGTTCCAAATTTGCTACAGTGAGGTAAGGGACTTTTGCAGCTCACCTGGGCTGACTGTGACCAAACCTAATGTTTCAGTTGCAGAAGTACTGCCAGTCTGTGGTTCTTCTGGAGGTGTGTGGTGAGCTGGCAGTGGTAATGGAAATATGGCAGGAATGAGAGAGAGCTTGTGTCCTGGCTAAGAACATAGCTCCTCTGGCTAGCTATGGTCTGTCCTGTCCCACAGGAAGGGCTCCTGCAGGAGCAGTCAGCCCCCATCACCATCTGTGGCCACTTTGCTTTTCATCATTTTGTTTTTATGAGGGAGCAGAGAGTGGAAAGATCTGTTTCAGCACAGAGCACCACAGGGTCTTTCACAATCTTGGGCTTGTTTGCTAAGAGAAATAGTTTTGAGTTTATACAGAGTGGGCCAACAGCTGAGCTGGTATGGGAAGCTTCTATCCCTGCACTTTGGCCTGTAAAAATTCTCTAAAGAAAGCTGCTGTTCGACATTCCCCTCCGTGGCAGTGCGATGGGGCTGGGTACAGACCGTGCTCTGCTCCAGTGTCCGTCTCCCTCTCCTGGTGTGATTCCAGCACAGCCACGTGCAGCTGTGGGAATCGCAGCAAATACTCAGCTCTCCAGTTTCAGAGGCCTCACAAACAGCGGTTGCCTTGCCCTGGCACAGTCCAAACTCTTTGTGCTCTCTCTGTGCTTTGTGCACTGCTCTTAATGATATATGCTCCCAAAATTACCAGTTCTGCTACTGCATGCGCATTGCTTCCCTCCTCTTCGTACCTGCTCTGGAGCCCCACTGTCCTTTCTGTCCACCTTGATATGCTCTCATAACTCACCTTCTCAGTCCATGGGGCAGCTTCAAGAGTGCATAAGTGATACCTGGAAAGCAACTTATTGATTAGGAGTAGCAGTTTCTGTATCCTGGGATAGGAGTGGGGCAGGAATGTATGAAGAGCAGGTTGCAGTTATCTTACAGCTGTGTAAAAAAGCTCTGCTCTGTCATGGCAAAATGAGTGGCAACTTCAGAGAGAGGTGCAGACTCTCCTCCTGCAGGCTGGTGCTCTGAGTGCTGGGGTAGAAAACAACTTCTCTATTTCAGCTGCAAGTTTTTCAAGGAGTTTGTTCAAAACATTGCTGCTAGTGGGAGGGGAGAATTGTTTGGAAAGGCACTAGTTAGCCAAGGCCACCACATGCCAAAGACTGCAGTGGTGGTTTAGCAGCTTGGTGATGAGGAGCTGTTCTCTGGAACCATCCCATTCACCAACGTCAAGATCCCCATGGTGTATAGCTCAGGAAATATGTCTGAGGCTACAGGAAGGACCAGACAGTCATGTGTGTCATGAAACCCTGTGAAATACAGGTCAAAGAAAAGCCCAGCGTGTTGTTCTGGCTGGTTCCCCTTGTTTGGTTTTGTGTCCCCTTCCCTTTTTCCAGTCAGCTGGATCATTTTTCCTGGAGCAGTGGACATTTCTCCAGGCTGGTCTGGCTGGATGTGGTGATGAGATTGAGTAGCAAGTCCTGGGACTCAGGAGCTGGGAGGGAGAAAAGCTCCCTGGTCCATGCCTGGGTCTGAACCTCAAGACTGTTTGCTTTTCTGGTCATCTCTAGCATGGCAGACTGGATCATCTACATTAGAATCACAGCATTATAGAATAGCTGCTCAGAGAAGACCCTGGAGATGATTGAGTCCAACTGTTGTATTGAAACAGTCTGAAATACTGAGGGATTTGGAAGCCTGAGGTTGACTGTATTGCTATATTTCAGTAAAGATGGGAAATTGAAACTCAAATAATTTTAAGTTTCAGCTTCAAACCCCTCTCCTGTTCTCCTGGCTCCAAGGAAAAGCCCAAATTCAAAAAGGCTCTTTTTCTAAACCTACCTCAAGGCAGCAGGATCCTGTTAGAAATAACATAGCTGGCGTGACTTGCCTCTTTTTATGACACAAGGCAAAGTGATTCTCTGCTTCTTCATTTACTTTTGCAATTGGAGAATCAGTTCACTTCCCTGCATCTACTCTCAGCTAAACAGCCTTCCCTGCCCTTTCTGCTTCCCTTGCCCTGATGGTAGGGCTATGAGTCTCACCCAGGATATGGCTGCTCCCAAGGAAATAATTAATTCTCACAAACCTATTTGTTTTAGGAGATGTATGTGTTACGCCTTAACAAAGAGCAGAAAACTATAATTTTTCCGTCAAGAAACTCTTTCAGTCTATAAATCCCAGTGTTTACTACCTTCTTGTCAAATAGTTCCTACTAGAAGTGGAAGATGTTGTACATAGCATGGGTTACTGATCAACAAGAGAAAGAGGATTGTTAGCATCCAGCAACTCAAAATTAATAGTCAGTGCAATGGATAGAGGAGAGTTGTTCTGGCTGTGGGTGGTTACGGGATTTTGCAAGCAGTGCTGCAGGGTGACATTTTCATGCACAGGCACCAACAGGTATAAATCCATTTGCAAAAAAAGTTTTGCACATTTTGGGATAGGCAAAAGAAAAAAAAAGTCGTATTTAATGGATAACTCAGTTTCTGCTAAGGTAAAATGTCATAAATGTGATTTAATTTGCACAAGTGAATTAAGCTCACTTGGCAACAGCAAGAAACCATTCCTGGCTGACAGTTTGTCATCACCTCTGACTTTTTTGTTTTCTCCAAAGACAGGAAATCTCTACTTGATTTCTGGATGAATGGTTCTGCAGAGCAGAGATTTTTGGAAGACAGAGCAACAGACCCGTCATCACTTGGTTGAAATGAGGGAAGTGTGGAAAAGCACTGTCAGGTACAGGACAGGGTGTGCTGGGGGAAATAGATTCCATCCTAAGCTGCACAGGTCAAGGATGCCTCTGTCTCCCTGCCTTTGCCTTTTGCACTTCAGTGCACAGCACAGTTTAATTTGCAGGGGCTGGTATGTGCTAAACATCTCTAACAACTGTGCATTTTGTGTGGTGATGTAGTTGGATGTTTTTGGAAGTGCTTCTGCATGTACTTGGTGTTTCAACCCTGCTGTGCTGTGTGAAGATGCACATTTTGGGATTTGTGTCTGCCTGAACTGTCCATGCAAAAAGCTACCCCTGAAGGTGGATGTGAGGATGCAGTTCCATGAGACTTTAAGCTCTTGAATGCACAGAGGTTACTGAGTGCACTCAGGAGCTGCTGAATGAGAAGTCAGAGATACCCAAACTCATTACCAGGCAGAACATGGTGGGAGAAACCTTTCCTTCCGACAGAGCCATCCCATGTCTTATCCCACCACTGGGATGTGTGAATTCCAGCTGTGGCAACAGCTGTAGGAGTTTGTAAAAGACCACCTGAGGACTCTAAAATCAACTGCAATCAAGGGCTTGTTTTCTTTTGAGCTACTTCCATCTCCCAAATTAAAATCAATGCAGAGGAAGAGGGAGTGAGGGAACAGCGCTCAGCAAACAGGTTTCCCCCTCAGAGAGGTGATTTTCTGCAACCCTGGCAAATGGGATCTGCAGAAAACCTAAATCATTCTGCAGTGTTGGGCAATATGTCTGTCATTACAGACTGGCGATATCTGGCATGGACAGAGCACAGAGCAACTCCCCATTAGCTGGACATTTTTAGGAATTCTTATTCCGAGAAGTTTTGAAGTTTTGAGTTTTTCAGCTTGTAGGAAGGCCCCGTTGTTGCATGACTGCCCTTCTGGAACAGAGAGCTCTTCCTGGTATTTTTTGGTGCCTGCTGGGATGCTGGCTGGCTCCCTGTGCCAGCAGCCTAGGTGCTGGGGAGAGATGCATACTCTCTCCCTGTATCTGATGATTTCAGGCTCCTGAATCAGTGTAGGTCTGGGAAGAAGAGGTGTCACATCACAGAAGGGCTGAAAAAAAGGACAATCTTTATTTTAAGTTCACAGCAATGTTGAATGGAACAGGGAGTAGGGCCCAGACTCTGCTGCAAAGCAGCTCTGGTTGCATGAGAGTAGAGTCCAACAGGGAAGCCTCTCCATCAGGCTTTAACCCACTGTGCTTTGTGTGGCCTGTGAGTGCCATGCAGTGCTGCAGCCACTTCTCCCCATCACTGTTTGGAAGCACAGCACTGGGTTTTCCAGGGCTGCACTTCCCTGGTGTCATCCCATCCTGTTGTAGTCTCCCTCTGTGCTGCTCTTCCCATCAGCTCTTGACCCCTGTGAGGAGGTGATTAGGTCTCAAAGAAGATCAGATGATGGAAACCAATTTTAGAGTGGAGAACAAGAAAAAAAATCATTATGGGAAGGGCTGCCAAACACTGACAGGCTGCCCAAGGCAGTGATGGAGCCCCCATTCCTGGAAGATTTAAACGCTGTGTGGATGTGGCAGTTGGGGACATGGGTTAATGGCAAGTTTAGCAGTGCTGGGAGAATGGTTGGACTTGAGGATCTTATAGGGCTTCTACAGTCTAAAGGATTCTGTGCTTCTGTGAATCAGGAGAGAAACTCCAGCAACGAGGATGCTCCAGTGCAGGTGTCAGCGTGGCTCTGACGTCTGCTACAAATGTCCGCTGGGAAAGCAAATCCCTTCCCTCCACATTCCCTCCGTGCAGCTTTGCTAATTATTCATGAGGAGTCATTACCAGGTAGCTCATCCTGGAGCCACCAATACCCAAGCTAAGACATCTAAAGGGCTTGCCCCAGTTTTTCTGTATGAGGCACCTATGTCTATGGGAGAAGAGTTGAGAACCTCCTCTCAAAGAGCAAAGTTGCCTTTTTATTTTTCTTTTAGGGGGTATGGAGCAAATGTAAGAGTAATAAAAATAATATTTGAAGCAATAAATGGAACTGCATAGTGTGTATACTATTTTTTACTTTGAGTTGCACTTATAACAGAATTGTTTTAATTCACTGTCTCTCTTGCAATTCCTTCACTTTGCTAATTCTTTTCTGCTTTTTAATTTTTTAAACCAAATTTTTAGAAGGTTGGTTTTTTTCATGTGCTATGGCTAGGCCAAGTGTTGGTTTGTACAGGAACATTTATTTCATGCTACTTAAGGAGGAGGCGAGCTGGGTGGAGTGATGGCTCTAACTGTAGAAGAGACCTTTTTTTTCTCCTTTAATGGTCATACTTGTTTTATGTTAGATCTCTGGGAGCTGTCGCAAAATTATTAGTCCCACTGAAAACGGTACATTTTTCTTTTTTAATGAAAATTTTTATAGAACTCTCTAGGTATCAGACTGCTGGGCTACCACTGATAGCTTCAGTTAGTGCTTTTATTGTCTGCAGTTCCCTTGCAGGAGACACTTGATTTGTCTTGCCTGTTTTCAAGAATTATTAGTGCCAGCTATAGTTACTCAAATCTTTTGATTAGCTAGAGACTTAAAAAAGCTGTTTATCCTCTATTTTTAATGGAAGGCTTCAACTCCAGAAATTGCTTTACTAATTGATTTCAGGATGGATTTTCTTGTGGTTGAGGAATTAATGCCTGCAGTGGCACTTACATGACAAATCTTTTCCAATAGCCACATTGTGCCTAGGCTTCACTGTTATTTTTAGGAAAACATACAATATGCTGTGTGGAATTGTGTTATTATATGTTCTATTATGTATAAGGTCATTCCATGTATCCCCCCGCGCTCTGTAACGACCTCCTGGGTTCTCCCATTTCCCCCCGCGGTCTGCCTTCCCGAGGAAGTGCCGAGTCATTCTATTTACGTCCCTCAGACCATCTGTCAGCCACGCGGCGGGGTCGAGAGACGACCTGGCACCCTTCCATCTGTCCATCTCCCATTGGACCCCTGCACCCCACTATCCCTAGTCCCCCCGTGGCATTATCTCATTGGCCGCCCCGGGTTTCCCCTATCGAGTACTTATAGAACGGGTTGGGGACGCCCCGGTGCTTTTTCTCCCGCCTGGCCCCTGTTCGCTGCTGCTGCCCGGCCCGCCGCCTCTTCTCCCGCCGGATCCCTGCGTGCTGCCGTGGCTCTCTCTCTCGCCCGGCCCCTGCCGCAACCGCCGCCGCTGCCGCGGTCGCCGCGGCTCCCGCACGTGCCGGCAGCAGCGCCGCGGCTCTGCACGCCGCCTCTCTTGGATCGCAGCCAGCGTCGGAGCGCGCCGCCCCGCCCCCGAATCGGCCAGGCGGCACGGACAAACTCGAACTCAGCACGCAGCAGCTTCTCGGTTTTTTCCTCCCCAACCAAGCCGTAATAAACCGAGATATCGCCCGCGGGGGAAAAAGTCTCTCTCCTTTTATTCGCCTCGGGACTCGCCTCGCTCCCAGACCCACGCAGCACCGGCAGATACCCGCGAGGGTTCGCCGGAAAACACGGAAGTTGCCAGCGCTCCCCCCCCCCTCACAGAGCTAGCTGGGATGAAAAGGGGGGACAAGAGAGCGCTAAGGCAGTTGTGGCGCCCAACGTGTTGCTTGGGAGCTCCAAGCACACGGACTGAGGACCACCGAGCCCCGAAAAGCTCGTTGATTTACCTCGTGGACGTTACAACACCCTCGCAAGCTGCGGTTCCGTTCTAAGGAGCCAGGGCTTCCAGAGGGGTGGGGCCGGCACCTTTGGCTCGCACCGCCGAAGCTCGGCCCCCCGACGGCGAAAACTTCGCAGCTGGACTTTTCGTTTCCCCTTCGGACGTCGCCGGACCCGTGGTGAGTTACCGGGGTCCCCTGGGCTGGGTACGCCCTTCTCCCTTTGGGGTGGGTTTCTCTTTCTCCCACAAGAGGGCGTAAGAGCCCACATTTTGTCTCCCGCTTCAGGGAGTGTAAGGGAGGGCTTCCCAGTCTCCGACAGGCGTCTTTTTTTTCTTTTGTTATTTTACCAGCCGCGAGGGTTGTGACACGCCTTAACATCGACATAATGGGTGCAAAAATGTCTGTGTCACAGGAGAGAATTTATGTTCAAACCCTAGGAATTTTAGTTGGGGGAGGGAAGAAATGTAAAAAATCAGACGTGAAGCGTTTTGCACGCTGGCTTCTGCAGTCCTTCCAAGGACATCTCGCAGGCAAATTTGTACCAAATTCAATTCTGGGACCGAGTTGAAAAGGAAATTGCTCAAAAGGACAATCAGTCCCTCTCGATTTTTATCCATCTGGCAATCCAATTGAGAAATATTGTCAAAAATAACTGCGAAGGGAAGCCAGAGCCACCGCAGGGCGAACGCTGCCTCCCAAGCCCCCCAAATCCCCCAAACTCCCCCTCCTATCCCTCTCTCCCTAGCCCGGGGATTCTCAGACAGGCATCCCGGCAAAACCAGCCGCAGGCAGATTCTGGCCTCTCTGTTAACCCCCAGGCTCCATCGCAGGACGATGCTGGCATCGCCCTGCACCCTTCCCCTCCCCAAACCTCCTCTCTTAGCAAAGTTGTGAGTTTTAAAACCCCAGATCCTTCCCCGGACCTTTCCCAAAATGATTCCCTTCCCTGCCCCAGGGCACAAGATGGAGGGGACCGCATGGCATGCCCATCCCCCTCCCTCCGTGCTTTGTCTCCTAACGACCCCCTTCGCCCTACAGCCAACCCCTCCCACTCCCGAGACTTCTCCACCCACCCCTCCCCTCCACCCCCTTCTGGCACCTCCCCTAATGAATCATTCATCAGTCCTCCCTCCGACCCCGCCCCTAGGGGTGAGGTAACACCAGCCACACCCCCTAGCCCTGGTCCTGCCTCCGCCCTCCGTTCCCGCGACCCGCCCTCTGGTTCCCACGCCTCGGTTCCCGAGGGAGGGGGGGGGCGTAGGAGGAGGGAGGGGGGGAGGGGGGAAGCCGCGACCTGCCGCAACCCCCGCTCGCCTTTTCTGCCGCACCGGTCACCTACACGCCGCTGCAGAGGGGCAGACTCCTTGCACAGTGGGCCCCTATCCCACAGGCTGTAATTAGAGATGTTTGCAAAGCCCAAAAAGACTTTGGTCGGGAAAGTGAATACTTTCGGGGACTTTTAAAAGTCACACTTTCCTCCAACGAGTACGTCCCTGCTGACATTCGCGCTCTGTTTTTGTGCTTGCTTACTCAAGCTGAGTTTTTGGTATGGGAATCCGCATGGAGGCGGGAGGTACGGGATGCATTACCGCAACTTTGGGCAAAAGCCGAGACCTCCTCTGACACCGATGGAGGCATGTTAACCATTGATCACCTGTGCGGGATGGGGGATTGGGACGTGGCAACAACACAGGCTGAAAAGATTCCAAGGGGGGCATTGGCAGCAACTGCCAATGCGGCAGAAAAAGCATTTCTTAAGTTAAAACCCCGTGGTCCTGTTGTTAACTGTTTTTCTATTAAGCAGGAGACACAGGAATCTTTCGTTAGTTTCGTAGACAGGTTGCACAGGGCAGCTGAATCGCAGGTGCCAGAGGACGGATTGAGGCAGGGCATGGTGAAGCAGATCGCCCTGCAGAATGCCAACGAGGCCTGCCGACAGGCGATGCTGAGCCTGCCCCTCGACCCAGAGCCAACGCTCCAAGACATGCTGGACGTGTGCGCTCGAAGGGTCACCCTGCCTTCAAAAGACCCTCAGGGGACACCCCAAATGCCATCACGGAGAGTCTCCTTCGCCGAAGTCCACACGCCATCCACGGCTCCGGCTCCTGCACGCCGCTTCACTGGGCCACCACCCAAAGGCTACCATCCAGGACGGCCCTGCAACCTGTGCAATAAGAAAGGACACTGGGCATCTCACTGCCCCCTCAAAGAGGACTTCTTGCGTTTTAAAAAACAGCAGCAAGGGCAAGGTGCCTCCAACTCAGGGGGACATTCAAAAAACTGATTTCCCAGCGCAGTCCCTCCCTGCGTAAGCACACAAATTTGGTGGGAAACATAACATCAGGGGGCAGGAGGGACAACACATTAGCATACCCACCTGAGGACAATAACTCTAATACCAAACACGACATTTCTGGAGTGCACAATAGGGGAACAAGAGCTGGTGAACCAGCCTGCGTGGGAGGAGTTGGGAATTTCATCTCACAGGCATGGCTTGGTCGGGACCCCGACCATCCCAGGCCCATCCTTAACACCCAGTCCAACTTCTCTCCATACAGGTTGGCCCTAACCGAACCCCTACTGCTCAGGGACAGCAATTGGCACTTTGTCACAGTGGACACACAGGACCCAGGGACCTGGAGAAAACTCCACAGTAAGTACATCGTCCTTGGGGACACAAAATACACGCCACTCGACATCACTATCGCACCCAATTTGACACCTGCAAACCCTAAACATCTGGTGCTGTGGCTGCACTGTGCTCACCCGCCAGTCTACCTTCCCAAAGGGCAAATCATCGCCCAGGCCATACCTGTATCTGGGGCCCCTGTCTACCCAGAAGACCTGTGGAGGAAAACCGCAAAGCAGATCTACGAGGTGTGTCAGGCCCAGGTAATTGGGAAGGATAGACCCAAAATTGAGTGTTACATATGGAATGGCGGTGAGCACAAGTGGCTTAACGGCCTCTTGGACACAGGGGCAGACGTCACAGTCATTCCCTCACGGGATTGGCCGTCGCGTTGGGAGTTGCAGGACGTGGCTGGACACATTCAAGGTGTCGGAGGGGCACAATTGGCAAAACAGTCAAAAAACATCATCAAATTTGAGGGGCCAAACAGACAGACAGCTTACCTGCGTCCGTTTGTTCTGGATTACACGGAGCCCCTGTGGGGAAGGGACCTGATGGCCCAGTGGGGGGTCTCATTGACCATTCCTACCCCCCAGGTTTTTCGGGCAGCGGTCACTGAGGAGCGTCCTACCCAAAAGTTAAATTGGCTCTCTGATGTTCCAATCTGGGTAGAGCAGTGGCCGCTCAATAAACAAAAATTAAAAGCGCTCCAAAAACTCGTGGCAGAACAACTTGCCAAGGGACATATCCAAGAAACAACATCTCCTTGGAATTTCCCCGTCTTTGTCCTGAAAAAACCAGGCAAAGACGAATGGCGGTTGCTCCACGACCTTCGTGCCATCAACAATGTGATCGAAAATATGGGTCCACTCCAACCAGGGATGCCGTCCCCCACAATGTTACCCAAAGATTGGGAATTGGCTGTGATTGACATCAAAAATTGCTTCTTTCATATCCCCCTCCACCCAGACGATGCACCACGTTTTGCCTTCTCGGTTCCGTCCCTTAACCGAGAAGCCCCAATGGAGCGGTACCATTGGCGAGTATTACCACAGGGCCTCAAATGCTCGCCCACCATTTGCCAGCGGTACGTAGCTTCATTGCTGACCCCAGTCCGTACAGCCACCGAGGGCGTGATCATCCAACATTATATGGATGATATCCTGATTTGTGCTCCCAATGACGATCTCCTTACACACGCGCTTAACCTGACAACCGATACGTTGGTTGCTGCAGGGTTCGAGCTGCGAGAAGATAAGATTCAAAAGATGCCACCCTGGAAGTACCTGGGCTTGGAAATTACCAAGCGGACTATTACTCCGCAAAAATTGGCCATCAAAAACAAAATTCGGACCCTAGCAGACGTCCAGCAGCTGTGCGGTTCTTTGAACTGGGTGAGGCCATGGCTAGGCATTACAAACAGAGACCTAGCCCCTCTTTTCGATTTATTGAAAGGGGGGGGAGGAGCCGAGTTCTCCCAGGGAACTCACCCCAGAGGCCCAAGCAGCTTTGATTAGGGTCCAGGAGACAATGTCTGCCAGACAGGCCCACCGGTATGATCCGGACCTGCCTTTTAAATTCATCATATTGGGCAGGCTGCCACACCTCCATGGTGTGATATTTCAATGGACAGACACCCCAAGGAAGGGCAAGGACCAAGACCGAAGGGACCCACTCTCCATCATAGAATGGGTCTTCCTAAGTCACCATCGGTCCAAGAGAATGACAAGGCCACAGGAGTTAGTAGCGGAACTGATCCGCAAAGCAAGAGCTCGGATCCGAGAGTTAGCTGGATGTGACTTTGAATGCATTCACATTCCCATCAAATTGGAATCAGGCCAATTCACCAAGGCCATGCTAGAACATCTGTTACAGGAAAATGAATCCCTGCAGTTCTCTCTAGACAGCTACACAGGCAAAATTTCAGTTTTGAGACCAGCCCACAAAATTTTTGAATCAGAAATTCAATTTGCATTGTCCATCAAACAAATTCAGAGCAAAAAGCCACTCAAAGCCTTGACAGTTTTTACAGACGCGTCCGGGAGTTCTCACAAGTCTGTAATAACTTGGAAAGACCCCCAGACGCAGCAGTGGGAGACAGACATTGTGGAGGTGGAAGGCTCCCCTCAAATAGCTGAGTTGGCTGCCGTCGTCAGGGCCTTTGAGCGATTCTCTGAACCTTTTAATTTGGTAACTGATTCGGCATATGTGGCTGGTGTAGTGTCTAGAGCGCAGGATGCTGTCCTGCAGGGTGTGTCCAACGAAGCCCTGCACAAGTTGCTCTCGAAACTGATTAAGTTAGTCTCCCACCGAGAGCAACCCTTTTATGTGATGCATATCAGGTCACATACCAACTTGCCAGGGTTTTTGGCAGAGGGCAATCGGCGTGCCGATTCTCTCGCTGCCGCCCCGGCTCAGGTAGCTCCGCTCCCAGATAAGTTCCAGCAGGCTAAGATCAGCCACCAGTTTTACCACCAGAATGCGCCCGGGCTGGTCCGGCAATTCCACCTCACTCGTGACCAAGCCAGAGCCATTGTGGCCACCTGCCCGTCCTGCAAGTCGCTCCTCCTACCATCGGTGAGCTCAGGGGCAAACCCTAGGGGTCTGAAGTCCTGCGAGGTATGGCAGATGGACGTTACTCACATCCATTCCTTTGGGAGGATGAAGTACGTCCATGTCTCCGTGGACACTTTCTCTGGGGCAGTCTTTGCTTCTGCCCACGCAGGGGAGAAGGCCAAAGACATTGAAAAGCATCTGATACAGGCCTTCGCTATGCTGGGCGTCCCTAAATTGATAAAAACAGATAATGCCCCCGGGTACACATCCAAGGGATTTGCCAGCTTCCTGCAGCAATGGGGAATAGAGCACAAAACTGGCATCGCATATTCCCCGACAGGTCAAGCAGTGGTGGAACGGACTCATCAGAGTCTCAAACGCATGCTGAAACAGCAAACACCAACTATGAAGGTGGAGTCCCCCCAAGTTCGGCTCGCGCGTGCCCTCTTTACACTGAATTTCCTGGATTGTTCTTTTGAAAATCTCAACCCACCAGTCACCAGGCACTTTAACAACCATGAGCTGAGCAAGGTTAGGGAAAAACCGCCAGTTATCATCAAAAATCCAGAGACTTGGCAGCTGGAAGGGCCCCATGAGTTAGTTACCTGGGGATGGGGATACGCTTGCGTGTCCACGCCCTCAGGACTGAGATGGGTCCCGTCCAAATTTGTCCGGCCATATGTCCCCAAACACCAGACTGATAAGAAAAAGGATCCTCAGGTGAAGCATGCAGCCCTCCGCAGACGGAGAAAGTCTCCCCCCTTCCTTTTTGACTCAGCACCTTCTCTTTCAGAGCCTTCCCTTTCACCATGCAGTTCCCTGGACTCACCTTTCCCTTTTGATTTAAACCTCCCCTCCCCAGAATGCTGACTTATGTTGCTGTTAACATTCATTGTTCTTATTATGAGTTTTAGTAATGTTTAAAGGTTTAAAGGTCATCAATTCCACCGTGCACATCGACCACGCAGTCTTCACCGCCCCATCAGAGCTGACATCTGCTCAACACAGACAGCCAGAGAAGAACCGAGCAGACATTAGGGTCAACGATGGGGAAAAGGACTGTAAAACCTCCCATTTAAGTTATTTTCTGTTCTTTTCTTTTGAAAAACAGAAGAGGGAGTTGTGGAATTGTGTTATTATATGTTCTATTATGTATAAGGTCATTCCATGTACCCTCTCGCGATCTGTAACAACCTCCCGGGTTCTCCCATTTCCCCCCGCGGTCTGCCTTCCCGAGAAAGTGCCCAGTCACTCTGTTTACGTCTCTCAGACCATCTGTCAGCCATGCGGCGGGGTCGAGAGACGACCGGGCACCCTTCCATCTGTCCATCTCCCATTGGACCCCTGCACCCCACTATCCCTAGTCCCCCCGTGGCATTATCTCATTGGCCGCCCCGGGTTTCCCCTATCGAGTACTTATAGAACGGGTTGGGGACGCCCCGGTGCTTTTTCTCCCGCCTGGCCCCTGTTCGCTGCTGCTGCCCGGCCCGCCGCCTCTTCTCCCGCCGGATCCCTGCGTGCCGCCGCGGCTCTCTCTCTCGCCCGGCCCCTGACTGCCGCAGCCGAACCGCCGCCGCTGCCGCGGTCGCCGCGGCTCCTGCACGTGCCGGCAGCAGCGCCGCGGCTCTGCACGCCGCCTCTCTTGGATCGCAGCCAGCGTCGGAGCGCGCCGCCCCGCCCCCGAATCGGCCAGGCGGCACGGACAAACTCGAACTTAGCACGCAGCAGCTTCTCGGTTTTTTCCTCCCCAACCAAGCCGTAATAAACCGAGATATCGCCCGCGGGGGAAAAAGTCTCTCTCCTTTTATTCGCCTCGGGACTCGCCTCGCTCCCAGACCCACGCAGCACCGGCAGATACCCACGAGGGTTCGCCGGAAAACACGGAAGTTGCCAGCGCTCCCCCCCCCCTCACAGAGCTAGCTGGGACGAAAAGGGGGGACAAGAGAGAGCGCTAAGGCAATGCTGGGCATAACTAACTGCAGTTGTGGGGTTTTTTTTTTCACATATATGATACTAGAATTATTTTGTAGTATTTTTTCCAGTAATTTTGCATTTCTACCGTTCAGATGTTTCTCTAACACCGTTCATGAGCTAAATTAAACTGTTCATGAATAAGCTCTCCTAGTTTCTGTGTGCTTCATATTTCATTGACTGCTGTAGAGAAAAGGTCTTCAGATATTTGTGCATCGTCTCTTGTATTATTCTGCCTCTCTTTGTCTCTACAGCAGCAGGAACAGGGGCATATCCCTGACGTTGCAGTTTGCAGTGACCATGGGAGACAGTTTTTGGTGCTGGCACTAGTTTGCTGATATTATGGCTCAAAGGATGTCTTGGCAAAAAGGGGAGGAAGTAAGACCTAAATTTTACCAGAATTTCTGGAATGGCTTCCCCTGTTAAAAAAAACCCAAACATCTGAACATAAACAACACCATGCTTTTGTCTCCCAGGATGAATTTATTCTTGGTTGCTGTTTCTAGGGGACATTTAGAGGGGTGGCAGACACTGGTGCTGCTGGATTTTTGGTGATTAAGGCATAAATAATCACATGAGCACCACGCAGGCTCACCTTTTTAAAAAGTGGTTTTTGGAGCTGGCATCCCACTGGTTCAAAAATACTCACATGAGTCTGCAAAACAACCCCACATTGTGAGGCAGAGAGGACAGTGTCTGATCTGAGTGTTTGTGGCTGCATAGTTCCTTTGGATTTTAAATCTTCACATCCCTTGAGTCTATGATTTTAAACTGGCCTTGTAGAACAACTCTAGAGTGAGGAAGGCTTTCTGTCAGGCTTTCTTCACAGAAGTTTTGGGAAAGGTTCCTGAGAAAATCCTCCTTAGGGCAGTTGGAGCTTCCCTGTTGTAAGGACTCTGAGGTGGCATAAAGTGGCAGTGGTAACATTTGACTTGTTAATTTCTCATGGTCTAACGGAAAGGATCTGCTCCTCTATGAAAAGGAGAGAAAGAACTCTAAGCAGCAGTAAATGTTTATCCCATTCTTTGCATGAAGTTTTTTTATTTCCCACTGGATTTGTGTAGGGATTCAAACTTGCTATCCTGCAATCAGTAGGAGAGAGAGATCTTCAATTTGCAAGACAAAAAAAATATTCAAGGAAAAGAAGAATGTTTGATCATTGCTAGCTATTCATTCTTCTAGTCTGATTAAAGCATATATATTCATTGCCTTGGCACTTAATGAGGAGACAGGAGATGGCACCAAAAATGCTACAGGACATGCTCTATAAGAATATTTACCTGTGTATCTTGTAGCTGTTAAGTGGTATTAAATGGGTTAGACATTGATGGCACACAAGAAAGGAAGAGAACAGCCTTTTTATTTCACTTTCAAATATACATGCTCTTAATTTGAAGTGCAGCTCCTGACTTAGTTCTGATATGATTTATTATTATTAGACACCAATGCCTTCTCAGCATATTTATTTTGTTAAATTACACATCTGAAATTAAATGCAGCCTCTTGTCAGCTTTAATGTTCTTCTTCCTGTTCTTATAATTATTATTGATAAGAGGTGACTTTCTAGTTAACGATCAGTAACAATCAGATTGATAAGGCAGCTGTTATTATGTTACCTCTTTTGGAAAGCTTAGCTCAAGGGCAAACTGTGATTTCTCCAGTGTGGGATGCTGAATCCACAGCCTGCAGATTGCTGGCAAAAGTGGTATTTGTGGCTGTGCTGTGCCTGGGTGACGTCTGAAAAGCTTCCCCCAAACTGCCCCCAGGCTGCAGAGTTGTGTGTACCTGCAATCAGTGAGCGTGGCGGCTCTTGGGGGTGCACAGTGGGGTGCCCCCGGTGTTAATTTTTGAGTTGTCAGAGGGTTTCTGCTCCTTTCTCTTCTGCTCCTCCCTCCTGCTCTCCGAGGCCCTTCTCCGCATTCTCAGGTAGTAGGTCCGGTTGGCTTCTGGGTGGGTGACTTTACAGAGGGGCATTTTGTAGATGGCTGGGTTTTCTGAGGCTATCAGCAGGAAGAGGAGCGCGGAGAGGCAGAAAGGCCAGGTGCACACTGGCAGCCCGAGCTGGCAGGGGAAAGAACAGACACAAAAAATGTGTTACTTTGGTACTGCTTTTTGGTCTCTGTGCTTTTGTCTGCCTGTGGCTAAACTCGTGCATTTGGGAAGCTGGGAGTGCCTTGATTCCCCTGAAGGCACAGTGGCTACCAAATGCTGATTCAGCTGGCCACACAGAGGTCTGCTTTTCAGCTGGGGTGTGTGGGGCTGCACAAAGCATCTGACACTGCAGACCTCAGTCCTGTCAGAGGCACAGCTTCAATATTGATGCTGGATGGAACCTGGTACCAGCATTGAAGCAACTGAATCAGGCTCCAGAGCTCTGATCACTGCAATGAAAGGCAAGACACCCAGCTCACACGTGGACACCTGAATTCTCTAACAGAAGAGCTAAATTCTATCCTCTCTGATCTGCAAAATATGTATGGATATTATTATTCACGCATATTCACTCTCCCCAGTGACAATATGACACTAGCATCACATCCAACCTTTGGCCCTCTCTGTTCCCCTACTCTGGACCTGAATTGAGGTCTTCCGAAAGTAAGATCACAGGGATAAAAAGTGGATGTTCTTTTTCCTGATGCCCCCCAAAAGCAGGTGTGCTTAAAGCATCCCATATGCAGGGACCCACATGGTACTGAGAAGATGCCAGATGAGAATGCTCAGTGCATGAAGCTGCTAGTTCTAAAATTTTTTTCTTTTAAGTTAGTAAATCAATTTAATTAAAATATTGTTTTGCTTTAATCTCTCAGATCTTAAAGAAGAAACAGACATTTCTTCTTCAGTCTTCACTTCTTTCTTGATTTGTCCAAATATAATAATTTTGTACTTAAGAGAACAGTCTCCTCCTCATTTTAGTTCTTAGACCCAGTTCAAACTTCAGTAATATCTGTGGGCAGGGTTTGAGAAAAGCCTTGAATGAAGAAAATTTAAATTTAGATAATTCGGAATTGCTGAAAGATAATGTTCAACTAAGTATTTAATCTCAAACCATATATGCTGTTGCTATAATTCACATATATGTGCACAACCCTGTTGTGGATAACATGATCCAAAGATCTTTGAAATTTTATTATCAGATATAAAGTCTTCAGAGGCACAGTTCAGCTGACACAGAGTTTGTACAAGACCTGCCAACTGGCTGCAACATTCTCATTTCAGTGTTGTCAAAGCTGACATGGAGAATTTTGAGGCATTTCCTTAACATTATATCTGAACAAATCAAGATGCAATTAAACAATAACAAACAAACAAACCAAAACACTCAGGTAAAACACAACCCCCCACACTTACCACAGAGAGGGCATTAGCAAGAGCTGCTCCAGAGTAGGCACAAAATAATGCTGAGAAGAGAAGACCAAAGAGCGCTCAGGATGAGGAAAATATTTTTGAATTGTCAAAAAATATAAGTTCAAAAATATGAATTGTCCAGCAAAATATCCTCCCAGCTACCTAATGTGAGGATCACTGCTAGAATTCAAGTTAGTTGAAATGTCCCAAGAGAAAATGTCCTCAAGTTGCACCAGAGGAGATTTAGGTTGAGTATTAGGGAAAAATTTCTTTACAGAAAGGGTAGTCCAGCCTTGGCACAGCTGCCCAAGGCAGTGGTGGAGTCCTCATCCCTGGAGGGATTAGCAGCTGTGTGGTTTGGAAGTTTGGGACATGAATCAGTGGTGGCTTTGGCAGTGCTGGGGGTATGGTTGGATTGATGGTCTTGGAGGTATTTTCCAACACAAATTATTCTGTGACTCTGTTTTGTCCTATCTGCTCTGTAGAGATGGATGGTAAGAGAAGAACATGGTTTTGTCAAGACAAAGTGATGGTGGCATTTCTTTTATTTTAAATTTATTTTTATTTGGCACAACCTGACTCACATGCAGTGAGAATTGCAGAAATTCTCCAGCAGGGCTGGACTTCAGAAATTCTCTGCCCTGTGGCTTCACACCACAACCAGTTGCCAAGGAGTCTCTTTGCCCCAGTTTGCCAGGGATGGCCGAACAGGAGGCAAGGTCAGGCACCCAAGGATTAAATAAAGGAAAGAAAATCTACTGAGAAACCCAGAAACTGTGCTCAGGACACTGAGATAAAGATAACTGGAGCCTGGGCATATCTTCACAGGAATGTCTTAACTAGGAAATTTCTTAAACTCTTCCCACAGTGCCTGGTTTTGGCTGCTGTTGGATGAGGGGTCTTTGGGTGGATGGATTTGAAACTGACCTGGTGCAACAGCTTCCTTCTTAGACACATTTTCCCCAGTGATACATATAATCATCAGAAGGCCACTTCAATGAGTCTGATGAGTTGCTAATTGGTTAAACATGCTCACGGATTAATTGTGCTCATTCCAAGCACAAACAGTGCTTCCACCCTTTCTAGATGTTTCCATATTATCAGGGTCTAACACTCTTCTCTCTGTACTTGCACAATCAAACCCAATGCTGATGCCACCAGAGAAGCAGCTCTTGTCACAGTACCTACTTTTGGGACAGACAGAGTAATGGCTGGCTCTAAACCTGTGCTCCCGGCTTAGGCTGGAAATGCAAGATGTGTCTGGGGGTGTGTGTTCTATTGCCATCTGTTAGAGGTGAGGCAGTTATCTTCTGTTAATTGGGCCACCTGTTAAAACAGATGGGGCAGGGTTTTTTTAATCTCTTCTACAACCAATCCTCCCTCCTGGAGATATCTTCTGTTCATGGGCCAGTGAATGTCACTGCATGAGAAAATTCCATCATGCCATGGGGAGATGCTCCACCCAGGGGGAGGAGCCAAGCATTCCTGCCTGGATAGAGTCTGACTTTTGGAAACACCACAGCAGCCTTTTCCCACTGCATTCCCAGAGGAGCAGCTTTCTTTGCTGGATTCCCAGAACAAGATCAGGCCCCACCACTGGAGCTTCAGAGGAAAACTCCACCCTTCTCCAGGATCCCTGCTCCAGAGAACCACAGCTGGCACTGCAGGAGGGTTGCAGCCACCATTTAATGGAACTGCTGCCACCACCCTGACCCACAGGGTGTCAGGGCCTGTTTTGACTCTATCAGTGTCATTTTGTATTACTGCGTTTTAATTTTTTTTAATTTTAATTTTTTCCTAATAAATAACTGTTATTCCTGCTCCCATATCTTTGCCTGAGAGCCCTTTAATTTCAAAATTATAATAATTTGGAAGGAGGGGGTTTCCATTTTCCATTTCAATTTCAGCCTTCCTTAGAGGACACCTGTCTTTCCAAACCAAGACAGCTCCTCATAAGCTGCCCACCTGCACAAATTTTTGCCTTCCCTTTATGTAAAAGATACTCACCACAGGCAAGTGAGAGCAAATGTGTCTGCCAGGTCAGGGCGTAGAACATGCCCCCGATGGCAATGCAGGCCAGGGCACAGTTGTAGTTGTGCAAGCCAAGGTAGATGCTGTCAAACGGGGATGCAATGCTCAGAGCTGCAGGACAAAGGCAAGGCTGTGAGGTCAGGCATGAGAGGAACCTGCAGGAGGAATCTGTCGTCTCTTCCTCATAACATCAAGATGGGTTTGTCTGTTCTCACACATGCACATTCAGAAAAAGGAGGATGTCAAAGGAGGCTCATTGTTTTGGAGCTCTGATAATGTCCCTGTGGTGGAATTTAGCCCAGTTTCAAAGGTTCAATTCAGACAAAACTTACTGTGTATTCACTGAGAGTGTTATATCCACACACAATGTGGAAGATCCAGCCACTGTGGGAAAACCTTCTCACCTGGGCATTCTCCTTGCAGAAAACTGTGCTCACACACACTGTTTAAACCTCGTATATATACTAATTTTTAATATCAGAGGCACAACTGCATGTCTTTTGTGGGTGCAAGCAGAGTTTTCAAATTTTTCCTAGTGATCTTTGTGAGATATGGTCTAGTTACTAGAGGTGGTCACTTCACCTGTGCAGTGGAAATTCTTCACAAGGATGGGAGCTGGGGGTCTGACCTAAATCTGACCTCTTAGAAACTTCTGCAGGATTTCTCACAGGCTTCAGGAGTACCAGTGAAAAGGAGAGCTCAATATGTAGTGCACAAACCACTTTCCTGACACTTGTAATATTAATACATTTCTTTCTATATTGTCCTGATCTGTCTCTGTTTTATCACCTTATGTTTGTCCCCAGAAACTTTCCCCTGTCCTTTCCCTTCTAGACTGAATATCACACCTCTACAAGACCTGCCATATGTTCTTAGCCATACAAATTGTGGACAGTTTTATTTAAAAACATGAATGTAAGACAGCTACATCTTGCACAAAGTGCTTCAGAGAACAGAGGACTTGATGGATCACTGCCTTTTCCAAGGAATCAGACTACACTTATTCTGTCATCTGTGTTTATTAACACTGTTCTCTTAAGTGGCATTAATGTTGTCTAACCTCTAGGGTCTGCTTCATGTCTCTCTATGTTGTTTCTCTCTGGTTAGTGTAGAGACAGGACATTTTTAGTGGCATTCATTTTGGTATTTTGAGAAATCCACAGCAGGACTGAGCAAACTGCATCCCAGAAAAGTCTGTTTCTCTTCCTTGGCTGATTAGTTCTGAGGCAGACCTTTGCTTGTGGTTGTCATTTAAAGCAATTGTGGCAGCAAGAAATCAGTTCTAAAAGACTTTCTCCAGGTTTTCTCATGATCTTCATGGGATTTATCACATCCAGTGGCTAGAGGGTTAAGTAAGGTGGAACTAACCACCTGGCTGAGTTACAAATTTAAAAAAAAATGTGAAATTTAAAGAAAACCTGCTTCTGCTCTTGTCTGCACTGTGTTGCGTGACCTTTACTAGGAGCTTTCAAATTTGGAGACAGTTTGAAAAATGAGAGTGTTGTCCCAACTACTGCCAAGCTGATGCAACTGGACAGAATATGGCTTGGATCAAGATGCCTTGGTTGCAAAAATAACTTGATCAGTATTTCTTACCTGCAAACATCCCCACAGCTGATCCAATTGCAGCATGTAAACAAATCAGTGGGGAGGAGATGAGCAGAGCCACAAGGAAAATGCCTCCAGTCCAGGGGTTTCCACAACCGTACACTTGTCCAATCCCAACTGGGATGGATTGTAAGAGCTGCAGCAGATGGCAGAAAACAGCTTGTTATTTATTGTCTTTCTGTGCCCTGAGGGACACAGCAGTTGTTTTGTCAGAGCTATTGGCTGAAAAGGGAAGGAAGAAATCCTGGCTCTGAGCACCTCATAGAATCCCAGAATGTTTTGAATTGGAAGGGACTTTAGATCACCTAGTTCCACCCCCTGCCATGGGCAGGGACACATTCCACTATCCCAGGTTGTTACAAGCCCCATCCAGCCTGGCCTGGGACACTGCCAGGGATCCAGGGCAGCCACAGGTGCTCTGAGCACCCAGGGCATCTCCACTCTCACAGGGGAGAGTTATTTTCCCAGTATCTAATCTAAAGTTATTCTCTTTCAAATTGAAGCCATTTCTCCTCAGGGGAATAGCTTCAAATGTCCCTCCAGGCTCTTTTAAGTAGTTTACCTCCATCTCTCCTACACAATCTCTCCTGGTATTGGAAGGCCTTAGTTATGTCATCCCAAAGCCTTCTTCTTTTCCAGGCTGAATAAACCCAGTTTTCCAAGCCTTTTCTTATAAAAGATGTGCTCCATCCCTCTGATCACCTTGGTGCCTCCTCTGGACTGGCTCCAGCAGCTCCACGTCCTTGTGCTGTTGGAGCCAGGGCTGGGGCAGCTCTGCAGGTGGGGTCTTAGCTGAGCACAGGGGCAGAGGGGCAGAATCCCCCCTGCCCTGCTGCCCACGCTGGGGGATCAGCCCAGGGCAGGGGGGTTCAGGCTGGGGTGGGTCCATCTCTCACCCACAGAACCCCCAGGTCCTTCTCCCAGGGCTGTTCCCTCTGCTCATCCCCAGCCTGGGTTGATCCTGGGGGCTGCCATGGCCCAGGTGTAGCCCCAGCACTTGGTCTTGTTAAACCTCTTGAGATTCCCTTGGGTCACTTCTCCAGCCTGTCCAGGTCCCTCTGGATGTCATCCCATCCTCCAGGTGTGCCAGCTGCACCTCTCAGCTTGGTGCCATGTGCAAATCCGCTGAGGCGCCCTGGATCCCTCTGTCTGTGTCATTAATGAAGATATTCAATAACATTGGTGCCCAGATGGACCCCTGAGGGGCCATCTGGGATGTGAGCCATTGACCACAGCCCTCTGGATCAGTTACTCTGTTCTCCTCTGGGAAGGTGACCATCCAGAGCTAGAGCTAGGCATGAGGGGACTGGGTATAAATGAGTTTCTGTCACTTTGAAACCCTGATTTTTCCTCTGAATTTTCATATTGCTACTGGCATTGTTGCTGATGTTTTTTTAACCTGGACAGGAGGAGGTCATATCCAGATGCATGCTGGATGTACATTTCAGACTAGTTTTGGGACAACACACTGAGGGGAATGAGAGGCTCAGATGCTCTGCTCCGTCAGGATCCACCAGCCTTTCTGCTGAATCAACCAGGACTGTCCCTGGGGATTCTGTGGCACTGAGCCAACCCATGTACTTCTGTGAATTCTGACCCACGTAAAAGTGCCACTCAGAGGTGAACACCTTCATGCTCACCTTTTCAGTGAAATACCATAAACCTGTTGGTACAAAGCTTACCAGGGGCACATTGATGTCAGACCAGGTGATATTGGGCACGGCAGCTACAGGTTTGATGAGGGTTGTGGGAAAGAAGGGATTGTAGTGTCCTGTGGCTGCCAGGTACAGGGTCACTGCAGTGTTGAAGGGCAGAGTGAAAACAGGAATGTCCCATTTGCTGAAGATGGATCCCAAAGCACTGGACAGTACTGGGCTGAGAACAGGAGAAGAAATAGAATTATTACTTGTTCATCACATTATATAGTGGTGAGACAGCCTACCTCTTTGGTCACAAAATGACAATTTTGGCAAATAAAGGCCAATACAGTTCCTTGTAGCAACACCAGGAGCAACACCAGGTGGTGAATACTTAATATCTTAATCTGCATCAAACAAAAAGTTGTCAAAAGCTGTTTATCTTACTGAAAAAAACAATGTCACATCCATGTATACATCCAATATGGCATCTGGGCATGGACAAAGGTAATCTGACTTAATCAGTTTAAAATTTGAACAAAAAGCTGAAAAGAAAATTTTGGGAATGTCATGTGAAGAACTGGGGAGAACTTTAGATGATCTAAAAAACCTGCTATCTTGAGGAGGCTTTGTTTTGTTCTTGTTTAAACAGTTTGAAGGGTATCAGGAGATGGGTCTGGAAAAGAAATAAAGCAGAAGAAGTGATCAAAGGCAGTGGAAAATCTTCCATAAGAAAGATAAAATATTTACTGTGTTGGACACTATTTCTGGGGACTAAGAGGCCCAACAGAGTGTAAGACAAAATCACCACTGTAGCAGAGCTGGGAAAGGTGTTGGTACCAGACTTTACTCAGACCTTGACTAATGTAATTTTGTGCTGCCCAGATACCATCTGAAATCATGCACAGTTTACTGAAAACTGAGACTTGTTTTTAAATAGCTTGATTGAATATTTTTAGCATGAAAAGTATTTGGGGTGAGAGTCAACTTAGAGTCAAAACACAAAAACTATGTAAACTTTGAAATACCATGGCCTTTCCCAAAGTTCTTGTCTGTAGAACCTGGTATATAATCTTTGTTTGATCTGCTTTTCTCACAACATTTCCAGACTCCCTGATTTCCACTTGAATTGTGTGTCTTACATGAAGGACTTTATGGGAGCATGTTGGTAATGTAATATCTGATTTTTATGGGCTCCAGACAGCTCAAGGAAGAGAAGAAATGACCAGTCCTTTGTGCAAATGGCCAGTGTTCTCCTTCCAGCTGAGCTCGTCTGCTATATGTGAGCTGAATAGCTCTTATGGTCTACTCCAGCTAGCAATGACCATTACAGTGCCTAAAAAATCAATTTAAAGAATTTAAGTTTTTCAAGGAACTGGATTTGAGCCCTAGAAGCTGGTTATAAAAAAAACCAAAACAACTCCATCCAAGTTATTTGGCATTCCAAAAGCAACATCTTGTGTCCTGCTGTACAGATACTATCATTGGGGAAAATGCTTTGTTCTCCCTGTGTAATCTCAGATGAAGACTAATTTTTTTTTGACAAGTTTGTTTCCCAAAGGAGTTTACAGATTTCCTGGCTTGCAGCTGTAGGGAAAAAAACCCCAGGACTTCAGTGAAAATGGTGTCCTAATTTCTGTGCTGAAATACAAAGCTTCTGTCACATATCTTGTCAGGAAAAAAGAAAACAGTTAAATAAATGCTGACTTCTAAAGCTAAAAGTCAAAGTATTGGTTAAAAAAATCACTGAAATGTCTGATTTAAAAATATTTCAGCTCTACCCTCCAGACTTGTGAACTAAACAATGAAGAAAATTTTGAACAAAAGGCCTCAAGGAATTCTGGCAGATAAGACAAATGAAATATTCTTGCAATATGTCCTGGGTTTTGAGAGATTGTTATAAAATGACCTTTGCTGAGAATGACTACAGAAATGAAATATAAAATAAATCTGATCTTAAAAGCAGTGAAAATCCAATAGTGGTTTGCATCTTCCTGCTTACAGTGATAAAATGTGACTATTAAATTAATTTCAGTTAAGGCTGTTAAACAGATTCTGTAATGCTGTTCAGATCTATATTTAAAAATGGCAAAATTTAATCCTGGATGGACATGGCCTGTCCTTTGGAGCTACTTGAAGGAATTAATTTTGCTCATGACTGATTGCACATCTGAGAAGGAGAATTCAGCCCCAGGATGAGCACAGGGTTGAGTCAAGGCCTGGATTAGGAAGAAGCGTTGTGGTGTTGGGTGGAATGACCTCAAGCCTGTGCCTGTCCTGCTGCTGAGGGCCATTTTCAGAGGTCTGGGGTGGGGCTGCTTTGCCTGTGTGCTATAATCAGTGCTTCTGTGCCCTCAGCTCCTACCCCCACGTCCCCCACGAGCTCTGCTGGTGATGAACACAACCCTCCAGTGCCATCAGGTCTGGGGTCATGGTGCAGGGCAGAGGGGGCCTCAATGTGCCTAAGCTGTTTGCAGCCAGACCCATCCTTTGGGAATTGTCCATAGGAGGAGTGATGCCTCAGGTTTTAGCTTTTATATTCAGGCTCTGTACTGCTTTAGTGTGTACTTCTAAGCTTCATATTAGGGGATAATAAGCTCTCTTCACAGAGCAGGGAGACAAAACAATTCCTTCTCTATCTGGGGACCAAGAACAAATGACCCAAATCTCAGGGCCAAGAGCATAAACAGTGGACTGAAGAGAGAAAAACAAGATGGGACTTGGACAATTAACACCAGTATGCAAATGGCCCATTACTTATAAAAGTGTGAGACTCCGTGACCGGCTGTCCATTTTGTGACCATTTTGGTTCATCTTGAGTGTAGCCCTTGATGGGCTCTTGTGCTGCCCAAGGTGTATCCATGGAGGCCTTTTAATAAATCCCTACTTTATTCTTTAACTCTGCCTGGTCTCTGTTCCAGGTCAGCCTTCAGAGGGCATCGGGAGCAGTGGCACTTACCAGGCCATGGAAATCACTGCCACAGGGGGCAGAAGCCACCAGTAGTAATCCTCTTTGTCAGAGTAGACGGCCATCAGCAGGCCCACCAGCATCCCATTGTAGCCGTGCAGCCCAGCTTCAATGGATGACCTATGATGGAAACAACCGTGAGGCAGAAAGCTTTGCTGAAGGTAGCCCATCACTGGGACCCACAGAAATGCAATTTGTAGGTGTCCTACCCCTGGCGAGAGGGTGAAAAAGCAGTGAGATAACTGATGTACTGCACTAGAGTGTGGAAGTGGAAAGTCTGGCGACTGCTGGATGATGGAGGGGGATACTTGTGACTCAAAGGACCTACATGGTTGTGAGGATGGCTGTCAGGGAGAAAGAACTCTGTATTTTCAGGAAGATAGACAGCCACAGGGACAGGCCAGCTCTTCTTGGGCCACAGCTCTGTCCTCATCTGAGTGTTCTGTCTCTAACAAGGCGAACTGACCCATCAGTGAGCTTCAACTGATATCACAACCATCAATTTTTATTAAGTGCACGAGGACCTGAGGTGCCACCTACCTGTCCTGGCTGAGGGCCAGTGCAGTTAACGTGGACACAGTGGTTCCAGTGCAGCCTGTGAGCATCCACCAGGGGCTCTGGAGGAAAAGCCCCACTAAAATGATCAGCCCGCTGAGAGGGTTGTTGACAAACATCACTTGAGAGGTCCCTCGCAAAATCCAGTCCACCAGCTGAACCATGAAGGGCTTGTCTGGAGGAGACCAAGGGAAAACACTGTTGAAAAGGCATGATTTTAGCAAAGCACAATCTCTGCAGACCCTTTCTGGGCACAGAACAGAGGTGAAATATTAACAGTTCTGTAAAACATGTCTCTGATTGTTGTCTCTGCATATTGTGCATCTGGCCCTTGGGAACTAATAGAGATGTCCTGGGCACTGCTATAAAATTGAGGGAGGGGCAGACAAACAAGTGATTTATTTATGGTGGTCAGAGAATAGTCAAAGGATTATTTGTGTGGTAGATCATTTTAGATTCAAAAAGAGATAGACACTTTTTGGTGTATAATTCAAATGCGGAGGAGGACTCTGAAAGTGTTGTCTAAGTATATAGGGAAATATGAAAAGGAAGTGATTTTTCTGTTTTAGGAAGAAAATCAACAACCCTGAACATGGAGGTATGGTATATATAGGAAATGGGGGTCAAAGGTTTCTAAAAAGCATTTGAGAGCTAAAGAACCTAAATTAGAAAGCAGTAATTATAGCTTGGACAGTACTCAGGGCAAAGAAACATTTCCAGAGGACAAAGAGTTATTGCTCTTTGGAGAAGGTTATTGAACCTGGACAGAGTAAACAGGCACCAAGCACAGATACCTCAGGTGAGTGCAGGGGGAAGGTGGAATGAAGGCACTGCAATAACGTATTGCTACTTGTTCTCCTACTGCAAATTTGCTTGAGTTTTTTTTTCTGGGAAAATTGCAACAATTTCTGAACTGCTGTGTGTTATTATAGGATGATGCAAGGAGGCTGGATGGGAAAAGAGAGCTGCTTCCATGTACAAGATGTTCAGATGTTCTTACAATATGCATATGCAGCAAATCTTCAAGATTTGAAATTAATAATCTTAATTTGGGTGTTCATTAGATGCAGTTTAAGGCACCAGGGTATTTTCTGAATATGGGCAATGACTTATTCTTAAGAATTCCTTCCAGGCAGGTTAAAGAGGTGGAACAAGGAGGAGGAGGAGGAGGAAGGGGCTCCTTAGGGGAAAATAACCAGGCTTGTCTGAACTAATTTTAATTAGCATTTGGTGTTGAGCTATGCAACAGGTATCAGCAATACACTTAGTTTCAGACACCAGTATTAGCTGTAAAAATTCAAATATAATCAGAGAACAGCGGCCAAAGCTTTCCAGAACACTGAGTAAGAAAAGCTGTTGACAAAGCATGGATCATTGGAGTAAAGAGAAGCAGGAGGAGATATTCCCCTGTGTCTGGGGATCACACTGATCTGGTTGTAAATGGATGCCTCCTTTTTCTCTCCCACTGGTGGAGGTGTACTACTAACAGCCCTAGCCTTGGCAGAGGATGCACAGTCTTACACAACCTCTCAAACCCTCATCCCCAGTAATTATGGGTAGCTTAGACTGTCTGCTCATGCATTGCTCCTGTCTGGAGAGTGAACCTTTGAGATCAGTCCTGGCTTCTATCTTGTGGCATTGTAACACCCTCTCAGTGCTATTGCTCCCCCAAGACTGGGAACTCAAGAGCCTCCGCCCCTAGCAGGATGCAGTTCCCCATCATAAGCCCACAGATGGATGAGAGACAGTGGCTGATACAAGTTACAAAGGAGAATCAACCCCCAGCACTGCCATGTGATTCTGGGTGCTGCTCTGTGAGACGTGATGCTAATGACATGTAACTGATTGAATGTGCAAGACATCTTAGGACTGTGGCGAATTTTGCCTGCTGCCATAGTGATGGCCACAGGATGCAGTGAGATTGTCTTCCTGAGAGTGAGATAATTAAAAAGGCCAGAGTTTGCAATAAGCTTGGACCATGCTGCTCCTGCTCTGCCTCAGGGGGTGAAACACACTTCACTGGAAGTACTGATGGAAATATGGATTTTCCCAAAAACATCCTTCTGCTTACTTTTCATCCACTCTCCATATTCCTTCATTTCTCCTGTGAGATACCCAAAACTATGGTGGATCCAGTTTCCATTTCTCCACAGCGGGTCCTGGGCTCTTGGCATCTCCTTGTACAGCTCCCTCTTGTTGGAATGTTCAGTCACAACGATCTCGCTGAGCTCCATCCTCTTTTGGTGATGGTAAAGGGTAACTGTAAATCACAGAGACAGAAAAACCTTAGAAAAACCTTTTGGGTTGGGCTCTGACAACCTCCAGAACCTAGTGGTGATATCTTTTATCAAAGATGGGGTGTTTATTGAGAAAGGATCTACTGGATCCATAGCTGGGAATGGTGCGTGCTGCAGTGGTGTCTCCTCTCAGGGGTGGGGACCAGGCAGTGCCCTGCTGCTGTCATGGGGCTGTGGCACAGACACAGAGCTGCAGGGAGAAAGAGAGACATGGCATGGGTGCCTTGCAGCATCCCACCCTCACTCCAGCTCCTGATGCAGCCTGTGACAAGCTGCTGGTTGGATATGAGACATGACATCAACCAAAAAACTGATTAGCACATGTGTGCTGACCATGCCTGGCTGTGTGCAGCTACAAGTGAGTGGCAGGTGCTGAGAAGGGAGCCTGCTGAACTTTGTCCAGCAATGAGCTGGAGGCAAGCAGTGCAAATTGCCAGGACAGCAGCAGAGAGGAGGGGATGCGAAAATACAAGAGGAGAGGCTGGAGTGTGTGTCCTTTTTGATGATGTGAGTTGGTGCTTTTATATATCACCAGGAATCTATGATGCTCCTCGTTCCACATCTGCCTTTGATAGACCAGCAGGAGCAAGCTGGGGTAGCATCAAAACACTGCACAGAAATCAGCATCCACATGTGGGTTTTGACAAGGACAGGAGCATTGGCTCAGGGCTGTGTGCTCTTTAGTCAGCAGGTGAATATTCATCAGGAGTAGGGGTTTATTAATTTTCCAATTACAGCTGTGGGGCTTTGCTCATTAAAAAGTCTGTTACCATATGAACATTAGAGGGAAAAATACACAAATACACTGCACTGCAGCATGGTGAGCTACACTGCAGGTTACACCCTCAAAATTGCACTCTCTGCTGTCTGAGGGAGCCTGGCATCAGCTGTGGGATTTGCTCTGGTGATTTTGATATAGGGTGGCTGAGTTTCTTCTAGGTGTTGCCCCAAAGCAGACTGTGCAGTTTTGTGCACCCTGTTTTGTGGAATATGGGCACCATCTTCCGGTGGGAACCTGTTTGTGGGTGGCTCAGAGAGGCTGGCTGTCAGCGTGGCAGCCTGCAGCAGCCTCAGGGAGGGATGCTTGGCTGCAGGAAAAGCTGCTTTGCAGAGAGGAGCACTGACAGGAAGATAGCAAAAATACCTGTGGCTTTAAATGTCCTCAGAAGAAAGTCCTTGAGCAACAGAAGCTGCTTTCCCTCTGCCCTTGGCAGCGCGTTGCGGAGCGCAGCCCTGCACACGCCCTGCGCGGTGCCTGTTCCCAGTGCTCTGGCTCTCTCTGCCGGCAGCTCTTCCCCACGGCAGGTTTGGGGTGACCTTCGCCATCGGCATCAGCCTGGCGAGGGCTGCGCCGGCAAGAGAGGCTGTTGTGTGGGACCCTATTAACAAAGCCTGAGCATCGCTCGGTTTGTTTGAGCCTAACCGGGGGAGGATTATAGAAGGTATTAAATGGGCAAAAATCCCACAAAAAAACTAAACCAATACAAAACCCAACCCAACCCAACCCAACCCAAACCAAACCAAACCAAACCAAACCCCAAAAAAACACAAACAAAAAACCAAAAACACAAACAAACAAACAAACAAACAAAAAAACCCCCACCAAACCAAACCAAACCAAACCAAACCAAACCAAACCAAACCAAACCAAACCAAACCAAACCAAACCAAACCAACCAACCAACCAAACAAACCCCCAGTGGTTGTGCTAGGAATAGATGCCTGCAAACCTTGATAATTGGGATGGGAAGGAATCTAAAAGCCCATCCTATTCCACCCCCTGCCACGGGCAGGGACACCTTCCACTGGCCCTGGTGGCTCCAAGCCCTCTCCAAACTGGCCTTGGGCATTGCCAGGGATCCAGGGGCAGACACAGCTGCTCTGGGCACCCTGTGCCATAGTCTCACAGTCAAGACTTTTCTTCCTTACATCTAAATTAAGGCTCCCCTGTTTTAGTTTAAAATCATTCCCCCTTGTCTTTCCCTCCCTGCCTTGTCCCCAGTCCCTCTGCAGCTCTTCTGGAGCCCCTTCAGGCCCTGGCAGGGGCTCTGAGCTCTCCCTGGAGCCTTCTCTTGTGCAGGTGAACAGCCCCAGCTCTGCCAGGCTGGCTTTAGAGCAGAGGGGCTCCAGCCTTTGCCAAGGGGTGTTTCATGGGGTTGATAAGACGGAGGTTTTGAGGTTCTGCAAAGCTGTGCTCAGTGCAGGAACAAACAAGGAGCAAAAGAAGAGAGAGGGGGTGGTTTTATTATCCCGCTGTGTTTTCTGATCTGTAATCTCATTCTGTCCAGAAGCTGAGTCCTGTTCCTGGTTTCAGTTTAAGGCACGCTTGGTGGCTGCCATTTTTGGCTATTCCTTGTGGCTAGCCAGGAAGACTTTGATTTAGGAAACACAGAGCTGGAGTTCCCCTTCTCCTCCCATGTGTCCTCTAGGCTGAGGGAATTTGCAGTGATTGATATTGGGAATTTACATCCCTCTGAATTAGGAAGAGACCAAATCCTACTGGAAAACCAGATATTTGTTCCTGGTTATATCCCATGAGCACTGGGGGTTTGTAAAATGCATAATTTCCTTGGGTGTAGCTCTGGGTGCTTTCAGGTGAAAGTCAGGGCATCTGAGCCCACAGCTGCCAACAGAAAGTTCCTGATGTTCCCATAGACAGCTCAAACTGGGTGCTCCAGTGAGGCACCCAATAATTTTTGGGAGGGACAAAGGGTCAACAGCACAAGCAGAGAAGAGATTCCAGAGCAATTCCAGGCCAGCACTGGCTGTCACTGAGGTTGCTTTCCCTACAGAGGTTCACAGCCATATTTAGCTATTGGTCTGCTAACAGAGATAATTCTCTAGCGAACACTGGAACAACACACAGGGCAGTGGTGGAATCACCATCCCTGAAAGTGATCAAAAGCTGTGTGAACATGGCATGTGGGGACATGCATTAGTGGTGGCCTTGGCAGTGCTGGGTTATTGTTGGATTTGATGATGCTAGAGCACTTTTCCAACTTAAAATATTCTATGCTTCTGTGATCCTATTCCATTTTGTCTGCTTTGTTTATTTGCTCATGTTCTCCCTGAAGTGTTTTCCAAAAGATTTCAAGAGCTGAGGTGGGCTCAGAGAGCTGCTCTGGATCCATGTAAAGGAGACAGGAACATGTCTTACAGTCTTGAAGTTTTAGGGATGCATCAGTAAAGAAAGGTGAGTGGTGCCTTTGCTGTGACCATGAACTGTGCAGTACATCTTTTACCAGCAGGGAGAATAAATGCCAAAGGGCTGTGTCTAGGTCATAACAGCACATTAAAAGCTTATGCTCACTTCAAACCCCACCAGGAAAAATTACTTGGGGTTTTTACAAAGGAGAAACATGATTTCAGAGCTCCTTACAAGGCTGCAGAGCTCAATTCCCTCTGAAATGGAGATGTGGGATGTGTGTATTTTTAAAATTCTTGTCTTGTCTTGCTCACATAATTTAGCTGTTAAGGGCAATGTCACCATATGAGACCCCTTTGCAGTCAATTCCCCTCTGTAGGGAGAATGGTTGGGATCTCTTTTTCCTAAAATACTTAGCTGAGTTGTGGAAAAGGAAAAAAAAAACCAAGGGTGTTCTGCCTCTCTTTTTCCACTGGCTGACTAGGGAGCCTGGTGACTGAGCTTTTGGAGGTCTGTTTGCAGGCAAGAAAAGCTCCAGCCTAAGAGACTTTGCCAAGGTCAACCTTGAAGATTTTGGAAATGGGATCTGTAGTCTCATGCTAGTACTTTTAAATCACTGAACCATCTGCAACAGGCCTGTAATCTACATCAGGTCAGGAACATTTAAGTTCTTATGCTAAGAAAACCACCCCAAAACTCACCCATTTTTATGATTCCTGCTTGCTTTCTTCTTATGGAAGGGAGCTAAGTCTCATGTTGAATGGAGCACACTCACCCTCTTCAGATGGCAGAGCAACTTGGGAAATGGATGGAGGAGAAGGCTGAGTAGTTACCAGATTTGGGGGGAAAGAAGTAGTGAAAAAAAAAAAAAAAAAAAAAAAAAAAAAAAAAAATTTGGGTGTGCTGAAAGCCTCTGCAGTGCTGCAGTGGTGAATTGTGGGGCTTTATGTAAGAACAGCCCAAGAGGCTGGAACAGCTGGATAAGACCCTGGAGGGTTGTGATGGGCACAGTGATCCCTATAGGATCATTTGACCCTGGGGAAAAAAAAAATCATTCCTTTGCAGGGAACACCTGTAAGTCTGCCGATGGGCTGGAGCTCAGTGGTACAGGCTGCATGAATAACAGAGAAATCATTCAAACAATTATCTAATTAAGGCTAATGAGAACCTGGATCACTTATGGCACACCTAGGGCTGATGAGGAATTCCTTGAGAAAGGGCCTTTTGTTAGCAAACACCAATTCATCAGTGTAGTAATGAGCAGTCCTTCTTGTTAAGAACATTTTCCAGACTGCAGGGTAGTGCCAGGTGGTTGGGACTCGCCTCCAGACCTACCTGTGCCTGCTCATCCCCCAGCAGACAGCTGCTGCAGCCTGCTTTTGAAGCACAGGGTGCTGACAGCACAGAGATGTGTATTTTTAAAGCCTTCTACATCAAGCTCTGGGTTTCTCTTTGGCTTGTGCTGCTAAAGAAAATGTTCCCAGCATACCAATATCACAAAGCTTTCAATGATCTGATGGCCTCATGCAAATTAAAAAAAAAAATAATCCACCAATTTTTTGTTCATAACAGTGAGACGGTGCATGACCAGCGTGATGGGTGAAGAGTAATGCTTGAGCCAAATGTTCTACAGGGCTGCTGTTTGTGTTGGGAGCTTGGCCATGTGTTAAGGTACCTGAAGCCAAGCCTGGATAAATTATCTTTCCACTTCTGTGCTGAAACCACAGGCATCAGAAATGCATTGACTAAGGGATGTGGCCTCACAAGGGCCTTGAAAAGAAACAGTTTGCAAAAGCACATTTCTCTCATAAGAAGCCATAAAAGAATAGAGAAGAAATACCATGTACAGCTAGAGGGGAAAACTTTGGGATGCTGACAGAATGCTTGGCTGAGTCATAATGACTTTGCCAAATGAGGCTCTACCAGAGATCAACCTGTGATGTTGAAAGCAAATGAAAAAATCAGAGCATTTCAGAACAGTTGCTGAAGATGCATGCAGCACAGTTTCTGAGACCTTTAAAATAAGAAAAAAAGAACAAAAAACCAAATAAATAACCAACCAAGAAAAAAAAAAAACCACCCAAAAGGAAAACAAGGTGCTCAGGTGACCTTTTTCCTATCACAGTCATTGAATGAAGCTACATCCCACAGCAGTTCTATCATATTTTTACAAGCACAACTACAACAATTAGCAGTTGGGGTAGTTTAATGGGGCTAAATATGATTCTTACATCCTTATATAGATAATTGGCTTTTACAGTGTGGTCTTGGAGTCTTTCTGTGTCTTCCTTTCCCAGTGTCTGTACTGTGTAATGTGATACTTCTCTCCAAGGC